GGGAACTTTTTGGAAGTCGATAAACGGCACAAACAAAAAGAAATTTAAAAAATCATATTGGCTGTAAAAATGGAAAATGATTAAATTCAAATAGCATATTTTTGATAAATTTAGAGAGTGATTCCAATATATTTTAAAGCAAATGTAAATAATTCCATTTTCCCAACCTTCCCAGTCGTAGCCGTCAAACAAATTATCTGAGATATCTTGTCCCAGCTCTAAATGCTTTATTTTTCCTTGTTTTCAAACTTAGCCAACAAATCTCAACCTTTAAATTGAATGAAACTTCTTCCCTTGGCGATTATAAATGTAAATTTAATTAGGAAATGTTTCCTTTAGTTTAGTAAGATTTTTTTATCAAACGCAAAACAAAAATGATTATTTTTAATTCATTTTTTTAAAGCAAAGCATTGAGATCATGCAAAAATTCTTTTTAAAAAATACTTTATTGTCTTGAGCGTGTAAATCGGAAAAAACCAATGACTCAAAATTCATTCGTTCATTGAGCTTATAAACACGAATAGTTCTTTGATGATTGACTTTGATTTTGTGTATAATAAGAGGAAAGTAGGTATATTCAAACTTTCAACAAAAAACACAAAAAACTTGTATAAATAAAGAGGAAAAACTTAAAGACTTAAAAAGAAATGAAGTTAAAAAATTTTTTTTCATTTTATTTTCAGGATGAATTTGAAAATTATTACAATTGGTCAATGACCTCATTTTCGATCTTCCCAAATATAAATTTGCGTGAGATCAAAATTACAAATGTTCATGAAGAAGTTTCTGTTCAACTTTATTCAATTTTATAGAACAGAAAGAGTGAAAAAGTTTCCCTTTCCTTCTGATTTACGGTCCGAAACGATGTACCTTTGACTTTCTCAACCACAATCCACAATATAAATAAATAAATTAAATTTATAATAATAAAAGCTCTCATTCTACTCCTGTCTCGTTTTGAATCATTTCTGCAATTTTATTAATCGTTCACTCACATCTAGATTATATTTTATTTTTGTCTTGCGAAATATTCAAATTATCAATTAAGAAAATTTTAAATATTAAAGTGCTTAATGCTAATTACTTTATAAACGAGAAAAGAAATTGATTTGTTTTCTTCGTAAAATTTTCTAACTCAGTTTAGTGGCGAGTTCTTGTTTCTCGTTCTCTGTCTGAGCCACGATATCTATCCGAATCGCGATTTCTTTCTTCATATGATCGTTTGAAGTTTTCGGAATTAGAATCGCCGGCTTCAGGTGATTTGCGTGGGCGTCGACTGCTGCTGTAAATAAATATAAATAAAGGAAATCGTTTTAAAAATTTCGTTTCACAGACGTCAAAACGTTGAATCTTAGATGTGAAATGTTATCAAAGAAATGGGAAATAAAATAATATAAATTCACCTTTCATCACCACGGTAATGTTCAGCATTTCCCCGTTCTCTAGATCTCGATCTTTCGCGGTTTTCTCGACTACTGCTATGGTAATTTTCACTGCCATAATAGCGACTTTTTTTATGGGTAAGTGTGGGATTTTTAACAGTTTTTGTTTTTATTTTTTGTGTTGGAATTAAGAAAAGATGAACATTGTTAAGATTAGAAAAAAATAAATGAAAATTAAAACCAAAAAAAGAAGTTAAGATGTGAAATAGCTTGAGACAATAATCTCATGATGAGCAATCGTAACATTTATAAAAGAAAATTTAAAATTTATCAGAACTTACTCATCTCTTCCTCGTTCACGATGTTCACGATGTTCTCTGCTTCTTGAGCGTCTGTAAGTCCTCGAGTTTGATCTCTCCCTTCGTCGTCGTCTTTCACGCGATCTCGACCTTTCCGATCGTCGATTGAAGCTTTTCGCTTCAATTCCTTGGAGTGTATCTTGTAAAGATGTAATGAGAATCTTGCAACGTTCATCATTTGCCACTTTCGACTGTTTTATCAAGGAAATTGCAGTAGCTAAAGTCTCAATTGCGCTTGCATATTCACATGCAGCAGCATCACTTACAGCTCGTGCTATGGCTGAACTGCTCACAGTTCTATTACGTCCCATAATCTCTTCAAACTCAGCTTCACTTACTGGCGGTTGAGAATTTGCTTGAGACACATCAAAACTCGGGCCTGGCATTTTATTCGGTCCACTAACAGGCCACATACCCGGACGTGGTCCCTGCTGATTAAAATGTTGTGGAGCACCAACCATACTTTGCTGCATTGGTGGACCTTGTCCCATGTTATTTTGGTTGAAGAAAGCAGGATTGACATGTGGTGCAGGTTGATTAAGCGGCATTTGAGGCGGTCCTCTTGGTGGCATGTTCATACCTTGTTGTGGCGGATTGAAATTTCCTGGATGCATTGGCGGACGATTGTTCCAGTCAGGTCTTGGACCACGCGGTGGCATATTCATTCCCATGGGACGTTGATTCATATTCATTGGATTCATATTCATAGGTGGACGATTCGGTCCCATTCCATTCGGGCCCATTTGTCCTCTTGGAGGGCCATTCCAATTATTTTGGAAGCGAGGAGGCATTTGTTGATTCATTGGTGGGCCATTGGGATGATTCATAGGAGGAGGGCCATTGCCCGGCATTCGCTGTTGCATAGGATTCTGCATTGGAGCATTTTGCATCATTGGATTCGGTCCTCTCATCATAGGGTTCGGATTCATCATTCTCTGTGGATTCATATTGTGTTGTGGTATATTTTGTCCCATTGGCATTCCACCCATTCCCATGCCCATACCACCCATGCCAGGCTTTTGATTATTTGGCGGTGCCGGGGGCGTTGGACGTGTTTTTTGTTGACTCTCAAATTGATTCAACGCTTGTTTTGTTGGAAGTGTTACAACAGGGTTTTGTCCATTTAGTTCTTTCTTTGGTAAATTTTCCATGACAATTCTCATGCTTGGTTCAGATCCAAGCGTTATAACGCAAAAGCCTTTTGATTGACCATTAGCTCGATTCTCAAAGAATTTAACTTCTTGAAAGTCATTTACGCCGATTCCGGCGACAGCATCTTGAATATCTTGATCAGTTGTCCACTATAAAAATGAAATGGTAATAAAACATGAATGAGAAAAAACTCGTTCAAGTATTCTTACCCAAGTTAAGTTTCCAATATAAAGTTGAAAGCGACGCGCGATATGATGCATATTTCCTTGATAACTTCCATTAGTTTCTGTCTCAACATTGTGCTCTTGCGATGCATTATTGTCATTATTGCTGATGTTGTTCGAAGTTGATAAGACATCATCGTAGAGATCGTCACCTTGATCGTAATTTTCCTGAGAAACAAGTAAGAAAAAATTTACAGTTAAGTATTATGAGGGTTATGTTTAGGATAATAAAATTTATCGATTATTTCATTATAGTAAAAAGTAATGACTTAAAGTAGATTTCTCGTAAAATTTTTAACTTTGTTGTTATTTTGATACACCTTACAACATTTAGCGGCTTCTTACAACTTGTTAAAACCTTAAAATAAAACAAACTTACATCGTTAAATTCTTTTCGGTCATTATCTTGAAAATCATCATAAAGCAGATCACTGTCCACGTTATCTGCCATTTGTATTTTGTTTATGTTCAGCAAGTATGTATTAAAAGCTTATCAATTGCGTTGTTGTGTCTCTAAAATTAATTTATAATATTTTCTTGAAAACTTCTGTTGTAACAATAATAAGCGCTTCACAATATCATGCAAAACAAAGCCTTAACCACATAGCCTTAAGGTTAGAAGTTGTTCAAACTTTCTAAAGTTTGTTTAGACATGAGAAAAGAAGCAAAAAAGATGCAAACTTTTTAGAACAATTGAGCAATACATATGATTCCAAAATTTAGAACACATTGTAATTATTAAAAATAGCGACAATGAACGTATTAATTTGGATAACTTTTAATTGAAAAGTTTATAAAATTTTAATATCCTGAAAATGTATGTTATTGCTGATTCAACATCATTGAATTTTCGTTTTAAAAGAAGTTAAATATAAACAGAGGCAAAAATCATTTTCTTTCTCACTCCCGTATTTGAGAGAGATGGAGATAAATGAGTAAATAGACTATACACAATCTTAAAAAATTTCGTGTGCTTGCGTTATTTAAGAAAGAAGTGTATTAAAGTGAAGTTTAAAACATAATTTAGAGTCATTATTTATTGCAAAACATTGAAAGTATCGTTTTTGCATTAGACTTTTAGATCAAAATGATATGAAAATTATGGATTAGTGAAAACAATAAATCGCGTTCATCAGGCGCTCGTGCAGAAAAAAGGTAAACGGATGCATTTTGTGACTCACCTTACTCACTCTAATATTATTATCCAGTGAAATTCCATAATTTTCTTTCTATGAAACGAGTTGATTCATGTAAAAAGTACATTGAATTATTTTCTATTTACGGTATTTCACCTTCTTTTTTCGGAGTCTAATTATCATTCAGTAGAAAAAGAAACAATTGTCTTAATTGTTACTCTAATTTCTTTTGTTTAATGTTTTCTTTTCTTTTCATCTTTCTTCGTTTCTGCCTCGATACCGATTCGAAATATCACGAAATAAAAAAACAGAAATGACTCTGACAACTTCTTCAAGTATGAGATCAAATCGTTCGTTCAGTTTCAAATGTGCAACACACGAACGAGACCGCGAAATCTACTGTGTTAATGACTTTCATGTAGTGACCAAGGAAAAACCTTTTATAAAAAAGTAAGTTGTTGAACAAAATTGCGAAACAGAATTTTGAAGTAAGTTTAATTGAACTTTAGAATGGCTGAATGCTTGGCTAACAAGATGCTTCCTCATCAACGAGATCGGAAATATTACGCAGATACTTTCAAATGCTGGCCACCACCGTATTTCATAATGTTGATCTCAGTTGTCGAAGTCATCTGCTTTGTTTACCATTTGATCACGAATGACGCAAATCCACCGAACTCAAGCGTTCCCATCGACTCGATTTTCATTTATCGTCCCGATAAGAAGCACGAGATCTGGAGATTCCTTCTCTACATGCTGTTGCATGCTGGCTGGTTTCATCTCACATTCAATTTAATCGTCCAAATACTAATCGGAATACCATTGGAGATGGTACACGGTTCAGGACGAATCGCTTGCATTTATTTGTCAGGTGTCTTAGCTGGATCTCTAGGAACATCAATCTTTGATTCAAATGCATATCTTGTTGGTTCGAGTGGAGGAGTTTACGCTCTTTTAGCAGCTCACTTAGCCAATATAATGCTTAATTACAGCAATATGGAATATGGAGTTGTGCGATTACTCGCAATTTTACTTTTTGCATCATGCGATGTCGGATTTGCAATTTACTCGCGATATGAAAGCGAACCGTCCTCGTCAATTCCGTCAGTTTCATTTGTCGCTCATGTTGGTGGTGCTGTTGCTGGTCTAACAATTGGTTTGATTGTTTTGAAGAATTTTGAACAAAAACTTCATGAACAGCTACTTTGGTGGATTGCGCTTGGAATTTATTGTGCCTGCATTATTTTTGCAATCATATTTAACATTGTGAATTCTGGTAACTATGTGAGTGATGAAACTGAATACGTTACTCTAATCAAAGAGCATCGAAGCTATTAGCAAAAAGCAAAGAAAGGAAAACAAAAATTGTAATTTAAAGTCACGAAATTCATCGTGCAAGGGCATTTCTATTATTTAAATAACTGAATAACGACACCAAAAAATAACAAAACAAACTTTTGAAATGGTTGATAAGAAAAAAAACGAAAAGATTTCATGTAATTGCGTAAGACTTCCAAATTGACTTTTATGTGTTAGCTTAATTTAAGTTGCATTTTTTTTTATTTTCTTATTTGAGTGAGTATCACGAATTGTAAAACTATGTTTAAAATGAAAAGTTTAATCTTGACGTGATCTATGAATTCCTCTCATTTTCATTGAAGCTAATTTATTAATCTCATTCTTATCATCTTCAATTGATCTGCTTACATCACAACATAAATCTCTTTCTATCTCTTAATCTCACTCTCCCTCCTTCTCTTTAATACTCAACATTAATACAGTAAATATTTATAAAAACAACCGTCATTGCTTTAGATTTATATCCTGTCAAATAATTTAAGAAATTTTCATCAAACGTTTCTCTAATATTGGCTTTAATATTTTTAATATAAACACATCGAAAACTAAACTATTCGAACACGGGTTATAACTTTTTTTTTGTTCTAAGATTTTTTTTCCTGCGTGGGTGAAATATTTAATTAAATAATTTAAATTCTCGTTTTGTAATTAACTTGCGTTTTGTATTTTAATTGCTTAATATTCTCTGATATGAAATTTGTCTCACCCTGAAAACAATAAACTCAATTTTTAAGTATTATTTACATTGTTGCCGTTCATTTATTTTGACACCGGCGACATCCTTCATAGACTGCAATTATCTAAATAAATAAACACCTGAAGCTTCATTCTTATTTTTAAGCTTAAAAGCTTTGTTTTGTGCATTTCTCATTTTGATCGAATTATAAAAATATTTATTAATTAAAGTTAGTTGTAGCATTTAAAATTCTATTTTGATATAAAATTGATATGATACCATGTTGTAATAATCATCACATTTCTGTCTCAGTTGATTCTCAAAAAAGGTATAATAAAAAGAATTTAAAATTATGAAAGAAAAATCTTACATCACGTTCAATGAACAAGGAATTGTTTTAATTTAATTTAATAATAATTTTTGTCAGTCGTTCTCCCACTTAGCTGTTGCATTGTTACTGTATCTGGAATGTAACTTCGATTATCGACTCCATTTTGTACACGATTAATATTGTCTTCAGTTTGTGTTGTGGCAGGTACGACAGCCTTTGGTTTTCCTTCAAGGAAGTACATTGTGATGAAGAAAAGAACTGAACCTTTAATGCATTTAAATTTGTGTTAATAAACTTCTAGTCAATTATTAAATTTCAACTTACTTATAAGGTAAAAACCAGCGTAAAATATTGCGATTGATTCTCTGTATCCAATCATCTTAGCCAATGGATCAACCAAGATTGGAAGATTTCCACCCACATTGTTGATAACGAACATGAAAATTCCAACGACAGAACTTCTAAACTCTAATGGCACAATTTCAACAATAACAGCAAATACAATTCCAAACCACATTTCAGCGAAAAAGTAAGATGTTGCTAGAGTTATCATAGCCCAGAATGGATCGAAGTAAACTGATCCAAAAGCACCAGGTGAGGCAATTAATTGTGACAGCGCAAGAACAAGAACTCTCGATCGAACTCCCATTTTTTTCACAATTTTATCTGATACAATTCCACCCACAACAACGCCTATTGATCCAATACCAATTGTCACAGCAAACAACCACCATCCGAGATCAACATTTGGGAAATAACTGTTATAATAAAGATCAGCATTGTAAGCAAATGTCATTCCACCGCAATGTCTGATAGATGCAGCAATCGTTAACATAATAACTCCCGGCTCCATTAACACTTTCCACAGTGAAGTTTTCTCAGAATGCTTATGCGTGGTTGCTGTGTTAGTTGTTTTTCTTTCAGGTTCCTTCAATGTCAAGCCCATTAAGACAGCAATGATTAAAGCTAAAACGCCTGTGGCATAATAACAGACTCTCCAACTCAAGTTCCAAAGATTAAGCTTTGTAAGGTATCGGCCGACAGGAAAGGCAATTCCATAACCCCCATAAACTCCCCAATTGAAAATAGCCATGACAAGAGCTCTTTTATTTTCAGGGAAGATATCACTCATGATTCCAGTTGCTAAAGGATTACAACCTGATTCGCCAGCTGCCATGATCATACGAAGAAAAATTAATTGCCAGTAATTTTGAACTGAACCTATAATAACAAATATATAAAAATATTCATTACTCTGTTATCTACTTCCATCATATGAAGTTTACCTTGTAGAACAATTGCAACGCCAAATACGAGAGTACAAACGAAAAGCATCTTTGATCGGTTATATTTGTCAGCAGCTATTCCCAAGATAACTCCCACAATTGTGAATACGAGAATAAAAACAGGCCCAGCAAGCAATTGATACTCAAGACCCAATCCATTGTAATCCCATTCACAATATTGAACTCCACTGATATTAAGTCCCGAACATGATTCTGGTTCGCTGCAAGAAATGATCAGAGCTTTAGAGTTAGATTAAAAGTGAGATTAAGATTAAATGTTAATCTAACCTGATGTCGTCGCATTGTATTGGCAATGAATTCTTTTCAAATTTCGTGTTATTCAGTTGACAAGCATGATCACCATAATCAATATCTCTTGCAGTTGCCCTGGAAGTTACGCCAATTAAATAATGTCCCAACTCGCCGACAATATAACAAATTGTTAAGATGAACAAAATATAAATTTTTTTGAAGCTTTCAAATCGTTCAATCATTTTTGAGTATTGATAAGTTTATGACTGAAAATAAAATAAAAAATTGTTCTTAATTAGCTTTCTTTAATTAGAAGAAATTGTCTCAAAATTAAGATAAAAAATTGTTTATTTTTGAAGTTCAAGAGCAACAAACTGATGACAACATTTATGCAACTATCCACGTGAAGCGGAACCGGTTTTCTGTGGAATTACCAGAGAAAAGACTTCTTCATCACATAAGAAGAAATAAAAATAAAACAACAACAAAATGACGCACTTCGGTATTTTACATTTACTTAGGGGGTTTTCCATTAGTGAAATAAAATACCAGCAATGATTAGTTGGATTCTAGTTTAATACTAGCCATAAACTACTTCAGAAAGCATCGTCCATTCACCAGCTTAATAGTGAGTGCATTGCCACAAAACGGGAAAGAAAACAAAACTTATTTGAATAATCACTTTGCTAGCTTCAGATATTTGTTTTACTATCCGCTTATTTTAATCTCGAGTGCTTGAAGGTCGATGTCAAGCAGATAATCTGTTGCTTTTAATTATTGAAAAGGTTTCATAAATCTTAGAACATTTCTTGTTCACATTTTATTGCACGATTTCACTTAATATTCAAACCAAACTGACTTAGTCACGACATCAAAGGTTCTGTTCACTAAGGCATCACTAAATCTGTATTGGAATTTAATTGGCCTTTTACTACGCACTTTAATTAAGCCGTTATATTAACAAGAAGTCTCATGTACTCATTAATTAACGATCATCTGTTGATTATTTGTTTTCACGGATATCAATCATAAATCTTTTGTATTTCTCACACCCTGCAGCATTACCCAATCGAGTCATTTCATGGCTAATGAACTAGTAGAATATTTCACTGTCGCTTTTTATTGTCAATTATTAATTATTATTTAACTAAACTTAATCCGGTTAAGTATTTGTACTAAGTCGTCTCACATTCCAAAGGTGGAAATCCTTTAAATCTTTGAACGATCAAGATATGATGACGGCCAGTAAAACGCATAAATAATTAGAATTTGAAGTGTTCAACAGGTGCTACCTGTGGCTATTACAAAAGCTACACTTTTTTGTAGATAATTATAATACATTTGCATGTGTCGTGAATTTAGAATTTACGAGGGTTTTGAGATGAAATAAATTTCTTACCGACATTGACTCTCCATGATGTTCATTTAAAGTGACCGAGAGACGCGAAATAAATATTTATTGGTTGACAGAAGATTTTCGATACGTTTGCTGTTAAAAAACTGTTAACTTCTTACAAACTTGTTATCCAAGCGTAATTTCATGTAAATTAGTTTCAAATCAATGATTATTCGCTATTAGTAAATATTTAAAATTTGTATTTTAGAGTTCATAATTAATGATGACAAACTTCAACTAAGCTTAAATATGTTTAAAATGTTTAAAAGCCTCATTTTGCTAGTTTCAAATAAATAGTTATTCATTAAGTGTGTGATTATAATTATTTTTCAAACAATCAAATGTTAAACTCTCGAATATCAAGCACCTAAGTGAATTAATCTGAAGTTTATATTAGGTCGGTTAATTACCTTTGATTGACAATCTTCTTAACTGATTCGATATTTTTACAATTGCTCTGAATAAACAGCAAAGTGAGAATAACTTAATTAATTTGAAATTATGAATATAACTTTTTTCCAAACCCAATTCACACCTACTTTAATAAGACATCTTTTTGAAAAATCGATTTATTATTATTGATTAAACTTTATTATTGTTATAGGAACACTTCTAATTATGTACCTCATGAAAACCACTCGAATGCGATTTATAATCATAAAGAGAAAGTCAAAGCCATACGACAACGACTAATATTTATGATAAACTGTATAAAGAAGGAAGAAATGTGGACTACAATTTATCGATGAATATTCGATAGGATAATGAATCTCTGCAAGGAGTAATAAAGTTATTAAATAAACTAAGTAGCATTCTGTTTTCAAAGATTTTACTTATTTACGGATCATAAATTGGATGTTTTGGTTTCAAATCTCAATCTTCAACGTTAAACTTTAAATACATCCACTTAGGTGCAATTATAATGTCTCTATAAAAGTTGTCGACTGAATCCCTCACATTCCAATTTCAATATCGATACACGAACAACGAGAAACAAACATGGCTCGTTTTCTCGTCATTGTTACAATAGCATTGTCACTAAATCTGGTGTTGTGCGATAACAATGAGAACAAGAACAAAATTTCGTTCATATTGGACTTTCTGAAGTCACAAATTAGACCAACATATCTGATTGTCTGGCGGAGTTGTTTCAATGATGACGAGAAAATTGAACTTATCAAGGATAGTTTTGTATTCACATCGTTTTACGAAAATAGTTCTTTAAATGAAAGTGAATTCAATGAGAATCCACAATATTGGCTTTTCGTTACAGATTTTACTTGCACAAATGCATCTGACGAGAACATTCGGGAGGTAAATTGTGATGCTGTCATTTTCATTACTAGATTTGGATATTCAATTTAATTTCTTACAACCAGGTAGATTCCAAACTATTTGCACATCCATACCGTTGGATAATGTTTGTTGAAAATAATAAAATTTTGCATCACATCAAAGCACTTGTAGACAGCAATGTGATATTAGCTGAAACGACTAACGATGGGTTCGGTCTAAAACAATTTTACAAAATTGACGAAGAGTCAAATGAAATCTACTTTGAAAATTATGGTTCGTGGGACTCAAAATCAGGTATTGTCGATGAACGTTCCACAAAAATCATTTCACGTCGAAGAGAAAATTTACACGGAAAATTGATAACATCAAGTTATGTTGCATTAAACAAATCCAGTCGCAATCATCTTGCGGATTTTGTCGATAAAAGTGTTGATTCAATATTGAAATATAATTACATCATGGTCAATTCTGTATTGGATAAACTCAATGTTACGAAGAAAGAGTTATTTCAAGATACTTGGGGTTATTATAATGTAAAGACAAAAAATTGGTCAGGAATGATTGGCGATATCGTTTATAACGGCGCTGATATTGGAGGTGAGTTAAATGAGACGTCACTTCATCATGATGACGATGATTAACTTCTATTTACAGGGACGGGGCTTTTAATAGTTGCTGACAGAATTCCATACGTCGATTATACGCCATTAAACACACCAACATGGGAAAAATTCATTTTCCGTGCTCCACAATTATCTTCAGGTAATTTAATTAACTTTGTTGTATAATAATTGAGAAAGTCTTCCTTTTTCTATTAATTAAAGTGTCCAACATTTACACGTTGCCATTTCGATCGAATGTTTGGTTTTCTTGTCTTATTCTCGTTCTAATCAGCACGATTTTGCTTTACTTGACATCACATACCGATAAATCTGATGTCAATAATGAGAACAAGAGATTTACTGACTCATTTTTGTCAACAATAGCTGCAATATGTCAAATGGATCCATCGCTGAGTTCGAGTGTCACATCAAGTCGAATTATCATGGTTTGTAATGAATGAAATGTTGTTTGCAGTTGAGTCAAATGAATCATGTTTGATTATCTTCAGTTCTTCATTTTTCTGGCATTCTCTCTTCTTTATGCTGCTTACACAGCAAATATTGTTTCACTTCTTCAATCACCATCAAAAAGCATTCGAACGTTGGAAGATTTGTACAATTCTAAAATAGAATTAGGCTTTGAAGGTACACCTTACAATCGATACTTCTTTGAAAATGCTGATGGTCCATTGGAAAAGAAAGTTTATAAGAAAATGGCTCCACCAGGTGAAAAAGATCATTCATTAAAGATACATGAAGGTGTTGCTCGTTTGCGGAAAGGTTTGTATGCATTTGTTGCGGAAGCAAATGGCATTTACAGCATCATGGAAGAAACGTTCTACGAGCATGAGAAGTGTGAGTTGGTAAATATTGAATATGTGAAATTCAGTGAACCTTTCATCGCTATCAAGAAGAAGTCAGCATATAAGGAGATCTTCAAAGTCAAGTAAGTTTCTGGGATTCCCAATGACTTGTTATTTGTTATGATTGTAAAGTTTTTTTGATTTTTTTTTTCATTAAATATCATAACAACAGTTTCATTCTGGCAATGGAAAGTGGAATACAGAAAAGAACATTTTCGAGAATTTATACAAACAAGCCGGTTTGTGTTAACAGTCAGAATTTCCAAAGCATTTCATTTAGTGATGCGTTGCCAGCAATTCTTCTCATTCCTTATGGAATTTTACTGTCATTTATAGTGCTTGTTATTGAAAAGCTTCTACATGTGTTTAACTTCAGACGAGAACTTTGCTTGAGAATTTAAAAGTTTCTTTGATTTTAGTGCCTGGATTTAGAAAAGCGATAAACTTTGATCTTTGACACTCTTTTGAAACTAGTTTGAACGATTTTTAATTATTCACTCCTAACATTTATTAAAAAAGATTTCCCATTTATAATTCCTTTCTCTTACATACACCCACGCATAGATTGCATGAATGTTTTGATGTAAATTCTCAATGTAGGTAAAGTTACAAATGGATTTTGTTAATTTTCCTTCAAGCAGTATCAGCTTTGAAAGTTAATATTTCTGTTTAAACTACTTCAGAAAGCATCGTCCATTCACCAGCTTAATAGTGAGTGCATTGCCACAAAACGGGAATGAAAACAAAACTTATTTGAATAATCACTTTGCTAGCTTCAGATATTTGTTTTACTATCCGCTTGTTTTAATCTCGAGTGCTTGAAGGTCGATGTCAAGCATGCTATCTGTTGCTTTTAATTATTGAAAAGGTTTCATAAATCTTAGAACATTTCTTGTTCACATTTTATTGCACGATTTCACTTAATATTCAAACCAAACTGACTTAGTCACGACATCAAAGGTTCTGTTCACTAAGGCATCACTAAATCTGTATTGGAATTTAATTGGCCTTTTACTACGCACTTTAATTAAGCCGTTATATTAACAAGAAGTCTCATGTACTCATTAATTAACGATCATCTGTTGATTATTTGTTTTCACAGATGTCAATCATAAATCTTTTGTATTTCTCACACCCTGCAACATTACCCAATCGAGTCATTTCATGGCTAATAAACTAGTAGAATATTTCACTGTCGCTTTAATTGTCAATTAATAATTATTATTAACAAATCTTAATCCGGTTAAGTATTTGTACTAAGTCGTCTCACATTCCAAAGGTGGAAATCCTTTAAATCTCTGAACGATCAAGATATGATGATGGACAGTAAAATGCATAAGTAATTAGAATTTGAAGTGTTCAACCGGTGCTACCTGTGGCTATTACAAAAGCTACACTTTTTTGTAGATAATTATAATACATTTGCATGTGTCGTGAATATAGAATTTACGAGGGTTTTGAGATGAAATAAATTTCTTACTGACATTGACTCTTGATGATGTTTATTTAAAGTGACCGAGAGACGCGAAATAAACATTTATTGGTTGACAGAAGATTTTTGACACGTTTGCTGTTAGAAAACTGTTAACTTCTTACAAACTTGTTATCCAAGCGTAATTTCATGTAAATTAGTTTCAAATCAATGATTATCCGCTTTGAGAATCAATAAATGTTGAAAGTTTTAATTGTGTTTTAAATTGATAATGAAGTAAAGTTACAATTATCTACTTAATCTAATACTTAATAAAGGAAATACATTAATGAATGAATAATTAGGTCAGTGTTTTGAAGTTGAAATAAAAAATAAAAAAAGTGTCAAACACCTGAGAATGTTTACGTTTCCAGAGAAAAATAATCAAAAGAACGCTCCAAAAATTTTATTCTCAAAACACCAACACTCGATGGAAGATTCAAAGAATCTTCAATTTATTTTTGATTTGCGAAGCAAGAAGAAACTTGTGTTTTCCAATGATTCATTTAAAGAAGAAGTTCTCAAATAATAATTTTCAATAACAAGTTTTTGAAATTTTTCGATTCTCAGAAATCAGCTTAATGAACATGTTATGTTAATTATTTCAATGCATGTTTAAACTTTAAACACAAAGTTTCCATTCTTTACTAAGCATTTAGGTCTTTTCTCACCTTTTCTTTTTGTTAAGGTTCTTAAAACAAGCTTAACTTGAGGGTCTTCAAATAATTTGTTAAGTGGAAAATATTCGCAAATTTATTGAAGCGTAGGAATATTTCATCCCATAAAATAAAGTAAGAAGCTTGATTCTCATTAAGTCACATAAAACTCTTAGCATCAAGCTTGATAGAATCAAACGACTAAGTAAGTGAACATTTTTAACGTTTTAATCACGACTTTACATGTCGACCTAATTAAACAGGTGAATGCTTGAACTTTGTTCAAAACCTTCTTACAAGGGCGAACAATTCAGAAATATTTCTTTTATTATTATTTTTGCAAATGTTTGTCAAGTTATCTTTTCATTGTCAGCATTACAAAATGATTTCATTGAATGACAATACTTAAGTTCAGATATTGATGACAATAAAATTCAATCAAAAATGATATGAAAATATTTATGAATGATTTAAAGTCCAAGATTCTCTTGAAAGAACTTTATATTTAGAGTGGAAATATTTGTTAACGCTTCAACACTTCTCTAGTGAGTGAGTGTGTAAAATTGTAAAATCAAATTGTTTCAAGGACATGTCCATCATTTTTTTTGCGCTAAGTTCTTTTTATTATTGAGACCATCTTAGAACATTTTGTTTCTACATACATACGTCTGCAGAGGAAACATGAACAAAAAGTGAGACGAAAGGCTTTTTCATGCGGTTGCAATCAACACCTTTGGTTATTTAATAAGTCAGTGAGCCTAATTTCGATTATCCTTTCAACGATCAAATGTGTAACTCGCAATTGTGTTCAAGTAGAACTCTACTAAAATAAGTTCAATTATTCATGCAGACTGAGTTGGGCGATCCATCGAATTGATTTAATTGTTTATCAGTGTAAATATTATTTCACATTTAATTTGCTCTGAATAAAAAGTAACGTGAGATCAAGACAATTGACTCCAATTAACAATTCAATTGATGTTCCGATCACAAATCACATTTCACTTTACTTACAATTCTTAAAAAAATTGAAATGATTTATTTATTTTTTTGAATCCGCAACTAAATCTTATTTCACTTCACGGATATATCTTTGCGACTGTTATTCTTAACGAACTGAACAGTCGAAGTAGTAAGTTGAAACTGTGGAAGGCGATAGAGAAACAAGACACAAAACAAAATCTGTAGGAAAAAATGAAGGAATATTTTATTCTTTTTGATGTTGATACATGTTAGACATTTGTATATAAGGCGGCTTTGATACAATGATCGCAAGCCTTATTTACTTACCTGCTATTAGTTTTTAATTGATTTTTAAGCAATTCTATCGATCGAATGTTCATGGATAATTTGAAAATTGCTTAAAATGCTTTAAAAATTCAATCTTATGTAATAATTTGATTATCATCACATTTTTAATTTAGAAATCTAACAGAATCATTTCTTATATTATCTTTTAGAAAATTTTTTAAGCTTACTTTAAAAAATTAAATGCCCGGTTTGTGTACACGAGCGGAATTTTTACAAATCATAATTCAAGTTTTTTTCTTCCATTCTTTTTAAGTCATTGAAAGTGAAACAAAAATTCAAGTTTACCAAGATTGCTCTTTCAATTTCCTCATTCTCAAAGAATATCGGTTCAAAGTAGAATAAGAAATTCAGAATTTTATGCATTTATCCACTGTGATAGAAGAAAATGATGATGATCTGACAATGACGAAGAAAAAGTTTATTTGCGAAAACTCAGCTGTTGTTTAACTGAATTTAAATAAAAAATAACTAAAAGTTAAATATTTTAATAGTTTATTCTTCGAAACAGTACATCACGTAATTGAACATGTAATAATCATAAATAAATCTTCGTAATTGATTGCAATAAAACAAATTATAAAATCAAGTTCAAGGTCATTATATTCATTTTTCTTCAATGATTGAATTCGAATAATTCAAATAAATTTAAGAAGATGCAAGTAGATGAATATATTCATGAATATGTAATTGTACATCATTATCAATTACCTAATATTTTCACTTCTATTGTTGCTATTTAAATTTTATTATTATCTTAAAACATTCTGAAACGTTATCGTGTTATATCTTATAACATTTTCGATATGAATCATCGTCCTCAATTGATGCCTTTCCCAATTGCGCAAATAAAATATTTGTGAGATGAGATATTATCCGCTGAAAGTAAGTCACCACAATTATCATTCCACTTTTGACTGTTAATCAATTAAGACGTTATCAAAGAATATGAAGAAAATTATTTGCATATTGGCAATTTTATTTGCGTTGGCAAATACAGCACCCGCTCAAGACGAAGCTTCAGCAGAAGCAGCACCAGCTGAAGAAGCACCGGCAGAGGAAGCTCCAGCAGAAGAAGTTTTAGCCACCAATCCACCACAGTGCACTTATGATTTCGAAGGTTTCCGATTAAATAAAGGTTGTGTCGTGGTGATGCCACCAAATTGCGATAAAGGAAATTTAGTTTCAACTAAGATTGGTGAAGATTATGAAATGTGCTGCTGTAATTTCTCAAATTATATTAAACCAAATTGATTTTCAAATGATATCTAAATAAAAATTTATTCATTTTGGTTAATTAACACTTTAATTACTATTTTCCTTAATAACTTTAAATTGTTGCATTGAACCTTCTTCAAGATTTGAAAGTTTTTCTTTCAAAGCCTTTTCACTTTCAATTTTATTCTTTTCACGTGCCTTTTGTGACTTTTTCGTTTTTAAAATATTTCCTCGCACTTTCGAAGCAAGTTGAGTTGTCTTTAAAATAGTTTGAGTTTTTGCTGATGATAACCATCGCTCTTCCCACGTCTCTTGATTTTTCGATGTTTCTCCAGCTGACTTCTCACTTTCATTCATCATGTCATCATCAGTTGAGTGATTAATTTCTATGACATCATCATCTGAATGAACTGAATTTGATACATCAGCCGTTTTCTCTGCAAGATCTTCATCTTTCTCCATCGATTCATTTTCAAGTTCAACCAATGTCAACTTCGCTTTTTTCTCTGGAACTTCCAAATCTTCGTCTTCTTTTTCTGAATGATGATGCAATTCAATTTCAGTATCGCTCATTAAATGAACGACATCTTCGTCATCAGCACTGTTACTTACACGATCTTTATCAGGAGAAGTTTCTTTCGATTCACTGCAATCCTTCTTGTCAGAACTTTTTGGTGAATAATCCTGAGATTCGTTTTCATCTTCCGCTGGAAGTTCGCCTTCTTCTTGTTCTTTGTCATCAATTTGTGCAGAGCTTTCTTCATGAAATTTTTCAATAGATTCTTCAATTTGTGTTTCCTTCTCAGGAGATTTATTATTAGCTTGTTGTTCATCTTCGGAATCTGATATGAAGAAAGTTTCTGGACTTGCTTCCATTGTTATAACCTCTGGTGAACTACAACGTTCATCTTCTTTAGCAGTCAACGAATTTTCTTCATTTTTATTCGCTTTTGGCGGTGAAGGTTCTTTTGTCAATGTCGTTGGCTCTGAATTTTCTGACGATTTCGTTTTATAGTTTCTCTTCAACTTCACTGGCTTAGACTTCGGTTCATCTGGTATCAGAGGAGGTACAGAAGTAATTGAGCTTTGATTTGGCTCTTCAATCTTTTTCTTATCTTGCGAACCGCCGGCTGTTACAGATTTCCATGAAGATTCTGTTATTTTGTTTGCAACTTTTAATTTCTCAGGTTTAGAATTCGACGAAGAAGAAGAAGGACGAGAAGTTGAAGATTTTTCTACTGTCGTAGTTTTATCAGCCTCATCATCGGAATCAAGTTCAATTTTTGTGACTGGTTCAAGAGCAAGTTGGGATCTGATGGCTCGAGCTCTTGCTTGTAACTCCAACAGTTCCAACATAGTCATTTCCTTAGGAGCTAATATAAGGGAAAGAACATAAGATTAATTTAAAATTAAATCTTGGGAAATTAACTTTACTTTTATTTGCATCTTTATTTTCTACAGCCTTAGTTGCAACGGGTTCTTGTTTCTTTGCTGGATCTTTCTCTAAATAATTATTGAATGATTAGTTAAAACTTAAAATAATTATTCAAATCAAAAATACTTACTCTTTTTACTTTCATTTCCTGAATCTGAAGATATTTCATCAAGAGAAATATGCTCAACTTCAGAATCATCAGAATCGGTGTTTTCTGGACATTCGGTGTTGTTAATAATTGATTTCAATCTTTTTGTGCTTATCCCAAGTATTTCATCTAAACAAAGTTGTTGAACTTTTTCAATTGATTTGTTCTGAAAGAGATTAACATAAAATTATAAATCTTTTCATTCATCCTATTTTCAAAATTTTACCCTTAAGTTTTCTGGTAATCTCTGCTTAATTTCCTTTGATTTTATACATGAAAACAATTGTTTTGTCAACTCCAGACGGTCACCAACATAACTCTCTAGAGGCTTTAGTGGCGCTTTGTTCGCTGATTCTTTTTGAGCAGCTTTATGCTTCTTACTTTTCTTTTCTGAGGGCATTTTGTTCTTTTATTAATTTAAAAAAAATGTAAACAAACCGAATGAATTTTGAAATAAACGACTAAGCCACAATATTTTCGAAGTTTCTCAAGCTGAGCGTCGAAGAAGCCAACAAGCTATGCGTAGCTAATAAAATCGTATAAATTTACAACTTTTCTAAAATTTGAAAACAATTAAAATCGAAATCAATTTAGAGCTGTAATAAGTAATTAAACTCATTTAAGGATGGATAATAACAATCCTGATGTAAGAAAATTCAAGTTTTAATTGAAAAAGATCTAAAGAGAAGCTTAATGTTTGAAATAAAACATTTTTTGCAAAATTAACCAAAGCAAAAATATTTAAAAATATTAAATCGATTTTATCTATTTTAGATACATCGCTTTCCACCACCAATGCTACCACCTCCTAATTTACCCAATATTCCTAATAGTTGGATGAATGACGATGATTTTCCACATTTCGATCAACAATCAACAAATCAGCCGCCTCCTCAGCAGCAACCACCACAACCAGCCTTAACTGAGGATGCAAAAAAGAAGCTTCCTCCACCTTTAATGTCATTGAAAATTGATAAGCCAGGTTCGAATGAGAAATCCGAATTAGTGCTACCAAAAGCTTTAGAAGATGCTTTAGCTTTAACAACACAAAGAATTCAATTGAATGAAACTCCGATTCAGCAACAAGGTCAGCAGTCGGCCAGTGATTTTTATGACATTGATGATGATAGCGATGAGGATCAAAACACATTGCAAGAAACTTCACGAAATGTTAAAAATCGAAATGATAAAAACAAGAAAAAGAAAAATCGTAAGAAGCTTAATCGTCAGAAACGTTTGGCACAGCAGCAAGAGAATCAAGAAAATCGATCAGTTGAAGAAAAAGAGCCAGAAGTTGTAGAAAAAGAGAAGTCATCAAAGAAGAAACATGAAACTGATGAAAAAGTTGAGATTGAATATGTCCCGGAACGAATAACAGTCGCCGATTTAGCTCCAATGTATCGTCAGTTCTACCGAGTTTTTGAAATTTTCAAGTTGGAAAACAAACCAAAAGAAGCTCCACTTCCAATTCAAACAGCTGAAGAAGTAAAAGCAGCAAAAAAAGCAGCCGAAAAGAATGAGGATGATGAAGATGATGAATTCGAAGAGAACGGCGACAAGAAAGACGACAAAGACAAATTATCGAAACGAAAACTTAAAAAATTGACACGTTTGAGTGTAGCTGAGTTGAAGCAACTTGTAAATCGTCCAGATGTTGTAGAGATGCATGACGTTACTGCTCGTGATCCCAAACTTCTCGTTCAACTCAAAGCACATCGCAATACTGTCCAAGTACCACGCCATTGGTGTTTCAAACGTAAATATTTGCAAGGAAAGCGAGGAATTGAAAAGCCGCCATTTGATCTTCCAGCATTTATTAAAAAGACTGGGATCATGGAAATGCGTGCATCACTTCAGGAGAAAGATGAAGCTAAAACCTTAAAAGCAAAAATGCGCGACAAGATTCGACCAAAAATGGGTAAAATTGATATCGATTATCAAAAGCTCCACGATGCTTTCTTCAAATGGCAAACAAAGCCAAGAATGACAATTCATGGCGACTTGTATTATGAAGGAAAGGAATTCGAAACAAGATTGAAGGAGAAGAAACCAGGAGATTTAAGTGAAGAATTAAGAACGTCGCTTGGCATGCCGATTGGTCCAAGTTGTCATAAAATTCCACCTCCATGGCTCATTGCGCAACAACGTTATGGTCCACCACCATCATATCCAAATTTGAAGATTCCTGGTCTCAATGCTCCCATTCCTGAAGGTTGTTCATTTGGTTATCATGCTGGGGGTTGGGGAAAACCTCCCGTCGATGAATCTGGCAAACCTTTATATGGAGATGTCTTTGGGACGAGTCACTTGGATAACGACGTGAGTTTTAACTTTAAAAGTTTAATCTTATTTTAATTTCTTTTTAACTTTAGGGTGGAGTTGGAGATGAAGAAATCGATCGAACTTTATGGGGTGAGTTGGAATCTGAATCGGAAGAATCTTCTGAAGAAGAGGAAGAAGATGGTGAAGATTTGGCTGGTGTTCCTGATGAAACTGGGTTGATTACACCGGCGGGATTAGAAACACCTTCAGGTTTAACTTCTGGAGTGCCTGCTGGAATGGAAACACCAGATTCGATTGAGTTGCGAAAGAAGAAGATTGAAGCTGAGATGGAAGATAACGAAACTCCACTCTTGTATCACGTTATTCCTGAGAAGAGAAACGAGAGAATTGGTGGAGCGATGATGGCTTCGACACATGTTTATGATATGACAACAGCGACGGGCGCACTTCCACCTCAAGCAACAAGACGCACTGGAAATGTAGAGCGTGAAGGAATGGTTGAGTTGGCACTTAATCCAGATGAATTGGACATGGATAACGAAGCAATGGCACAGCGATATGAACAACAAATGAGAGAACAGCAAAGTCATCTACAGAAAGAAGATCTTTCCGATATGTTGGCAGAACATGTCGCACGTCAGAAGTCAAAACGTAAACGTCAACAGACGACGAGCACACAAAAACCGAAAGATGATTACAAAAAATTCAAATTCTAATTTTTTCTTCTATTTGCATTTCTTTCTTATGTAATTTTTAAAAGTGTCAATAAAAAAAATATATAAGAAATATCTTGCTTGCCATGTTGCATCATAAATTTGAATGCTCCATTTGTTACTTTAATTTTTCATTTTGCAGTTGAAGTTTGAAAGAGAATGAGGAAAGTTTTAAAGTATCTTGTAGTTCAACTAATGATCTCATTGGTTTTGACTCAAAATGAAGGCGACGTATCAACACCTGATGGTGAAGATGAGACCGAAACAAAGCCAAAAGACATTCCGCAATATGCACCGAAGTGTCTCTACGATTATTTAGGAAATCGAGTGAACGAAGGATGTCCATCAGAGAAACCACCAGAATGTGAAAAAGGAATTCTTGTTCAAACAATTTCAGGAGAGGAACATGAGATGTGCTGTTGTAATTATGCTAACAGTTGTGGAAAATAAAATCGTTTAACATGTCTTCAAATATCTTAATTTTTGTATAAGACAAAAACAATTTGAAAACAAATTAAAAATGTGAAGAATAAAAATATCAAAACACGTTTGTTGATGTGTAATAGAAAGAAGAAGCAATCAGTGTTTAGAAGCGGAATTTTTCTAATTCAGAAATAATTTCAGATTAGTTTCTAAAACAAATTTTCTATTCGTATAAAAATGAAGTTCAATTCCATGCTCTGGTAAATTATCACAATTTCTGAGTTGAAATTCTTTCCTTTTTTTTTGCTTTGTACTGATAATGTAATCCAAATTCCAAAATTATTTAATCAGCTGTACATGAAGAGATGATGAGAGTTGAAATCTTAAATATAATATTAAGCCGCATCGATTTCAAGTTCTCATTTGTCAAAAATGTGAAAGTGATGCGCTTGTGGTGTAATGGTTAGCATAGTTGCCTTCCAAGCAGTTGATCCTGGTTCGATTCCTGGCAAGCGCACATAACTTTTTGCTTTATTTTATTTTTTATTTATTTTATTTTTCAATAATTTCCATCAAACATTAAACATATTTCTGTGCTGTTTACATTCATTTCATATTTTTTTAGTGTGAACAAAACTTAAATGCTTCTCGTTTCTGAATATTTCCGATAACTCTGTTGAATGACGTCTTCAATCGTCATAAGATGATACTCGTTTTAAAAGACTGAAGTAAGACCAGGTAGTTGTTATAATCTAAATACAGAATAAATTAAATTTACATAAAAATAATAAATTCAGATCTTACCTGAGCAAAGCTTGAGAGAGAAATATCAGCAAATCCCATAGCAGTCAATTGTTTAGCTCGTTGTGATCTCAATATGATGAAAAAATTCTGTTTCATTATTTTGTTACAATGAAAATCTTCCCATCCGTTGAAATAAGCTCCCTCAGCAACTTTCATGCTGTTGTCAGCCACTTTTTGCCCATTCAAGCAAAGAATGAAAGCCTGGCCGGCAATCAGTAAGAAGTATGATATGACAAATGTGTACGCGTTGGCATCATTTGCGAATAAAAGTTGAAATGCGAGAACACATAATATCAAAGCACTGATTCCAAAGTTATAAAAGAACATCAATTCATAAATGTCTTGCAAATCGTCACCACAGTCCAAAAGCTTTTGATGATGATTGATTAAGCTTTCGAGCTTATTTTTCAACTCATCACTTTTGATAAGTTTTAAATTCTCAAAATCAATTCTGAGAATATGAAATTCCATTGCCAATATTTTCATAATTACAAAAAGTATTGCGTCTGTTGCTAAAAGATAAGTAAGAAAGTGATAGCAGACGAACACGATAAATAATAAAGCAATGGGATATAATCGAGGATTATATTCGTCAAAGGGAAACCAATAATCAACTGTAAACTCCATTGTACCATAAGCAATGTACTTATAGATCGGAAAAGCAATTGGCACGAAAACAAAAACGCAAATGCATCCATAAATTCTAATTTCTAGGATATATTCACTGAAATATGCTTGAATCAAGTTTTTCTTTATCTGACTTTCTTCATGTCTTGTAAATATGGCTTTCAACTCTTGGCAAATACCCCAAATTTTTTCCTTGTGGTAATAAGTTATGAAAGTTTTCATAAAGATCAAAGCAACTGTCGTAACATTTGGTATAGAAAAACTTGCAGTGACGAAGTCCTTTGCTTCTGTGATTCCAAATACACACAATGAAAAAATACAATAAACAAAACAAGTCATAACACATCGAATGTAACTTATTTGGAATTTATGAAAAAGCTTCTCACTAAAACTTGCATAAGCATTAAGCGGTTTAATTTTAAAATTTCCGATTTTGAAGCAGAAAAGCGCAAACTTTGTAAATGAATCAAATTTGATTTCATTTTCAGATTTTTTTGACAAGTTTTTGAAAAAAGTTTCCATTCTCGATAAATTATCAAGACAAACTGAAGAAATTTTCTTTCTTTTGATTTTGGATAATGTTCACCAATTAGTTAAATAACGTACGATGTAAAAGCTTTTTAAGTCAATTTGTAATCACAATAATTATTTTAATAAGATAATGGGGAAGTAGACCTTGTGTGAAGAGGAAAGGAAGTTGAAAGCTTTTAAAATTTAAAATATGTCTCAGTGATTACCTCAGAAAATATTTTCATATCAAAGTTTGCCTTCTGTGACCACCTGAAATGTATTGGAATGAGGCGTTTGAAAATACATTTTACTATTTTGAAGTTCTTGAATATTTCTTTTATTTATATTAATAAGTTGATAATATTTTTAATAAATTTGTTCTTCAGTTTGACTGATATAATTTCTAAGATAAACAAAATTAATGCTATCAAAAGTCCAAAATACAACAAATCAAAGCTTCCCGAAAGCTGGGGAAAAGTCAATTTTTTGGGGCCACTTTTAGCTTCTTTAATTCGAAGGTAATATGAATCGATATATTTTGATGAAATAAAATCAATCAAACCATTCTCTCTAAGCGCACTCATCGTCTCATCGAATATTTTTAATAAATAAGAATCTTTTGGAAAGCTCCAAGTTGATAAAGCAATAACGATTGGTTCATTCAATACTCTGAAGTAATAATTCTTATGATTTAATTTATTTTCATACAAGACTTGAGAATCGTAGTTGACAACTGCGCCCTTGAATCTTGCATCTAGTGTTTTCCTTTGATAAGCACTGACTTCACTTTGGTCAATCTCTTCTCCACTAAAGTGATGAGAAAATTAAAATTTGGTTTTCTATTTTAAATAAAGACTTACATTACGAAGATTTTAGATCCTTGATAGTTTTGTTTGAATGCTGGATAGTAATAAATAATAAAATCATTATCAATCATCTCCTGAATTGAAGTTACTGCTGGTTTACGAGAGTCAGACTGAAGAAACTTATAAAGTGCAGATGTGTAAAGTGATCGCTTCACTAAGCAAAAGAACAAAAACGCTACGAGAAGAATTCTCGCTGTTGTTCTGCGAGGTAGAACTCGTATTGAACCCCCTACAATTGTAGAAATAATATCCATGACAGGTGTTTTGCTTTCTTCCCCAATTAATATGTTTTTCCACATTTTATTCTTCTTCAATGTTATAAGAGTAACCAAAATAATTCCCAACACAAAAGTCGCACCAAATGCAATCCAAACTTCACTTTGAAACGGTTGAAATAATTTCTCAAATGCATTGAATGGTGCACCAGACGGAATCACAACAACTATCTGATTAAATATAATGGGAGAAATAAATGACAAATATAAGCTTCTAACTTCAGTTCTTGCAACAAATCCAATCATCAAATCAGCTTCACGTTTCATAAGTTGTAGGAAACATCCAGTAGCATCCCCGTCTTCGTTTATTTTGCCCCATCCACCTGGTGTAGATTCATATATAAATTTAGTAGAGAAATTCAAAACATCAGCCACTTCATTAATCAATTCAACATCAACCCCGATGAGTGTGTAGTTATCATTTTCATAATCCCCTTGTGCCATAATAGCAGGCTCGTAAATAGCACCAGCAACATTCATTGTGCAGTTATGTAAATTTCTCATCTTTGGTGGATAAAACAAATTAATGTTCCATTTTAAGTTCTTGTATTCATTGACAATAACTGGATCCGAAGAGTTGCAACTTTTCTCAGTGAAAATCAAAAATGTTAATAGTTGAATATTTTGATCATTATGAGAGGTCACAACATTTACATTATAAATAAATAATTTTAAGAAAGTCTTGAACAAATATTCCAAATTCTTTTTGTTATTCCCGTTTAAGAAATGAATTAAATAATATCCAGAATAATCGAATTGCTGCGATGTCAAATCTTTTATCATTTTATCAATGTTCTCATTGTCAATCAACATTATTACATATTCCCTTTTAAAGCTATTTAGTCTTCCACATGTTTCAAGATTTATTGGTACGTTTATTTTCCACAGCACGTATTCAAGCATTGAAACAGCTTTCTTCGGATGTTCGCTACAAATTACGAAATTTATTGTTGAAGTTCTTGTAGCGAAAAATGTGTCAATAATTTCTAATAATGCTGAATTTAACAAATGTCCATCACTTTTTTTCTCCAAATTTGAAATTTCACAAAATATTTCATTGTGAAAGTTAAATATTAAAATTAAAATCAGATTTTTATTCATCATGTCTTCATCCGTGATTGAAAGTCGACTGAATAAAAGTGGAAAATAACTGGCATTCAGTGATATATTGATTTAGATAGTAAAATAATGAATATGTGAATACATTAATTATATTTTTGTAACATTGATGTTTTGAAAACTTTTTACGAAAAGTTCACTCGTTAAAAAAGAACTAAGTTGAAAATTGTTTTATAAATATCAACATGACTCATTTCATAAACAAAGTATTACCAGTTCAGTGTTTGACCTTTACTATCCATACAATTAAATTTGTCTTATTGTAAGGGTGAATTAAATCTAAAATTAATTGATTAATATAGGTAATTAATGATTAGTTCAACTGCATAATTTATTAGAAAATTAAAGTTTCGTAAATTCTAGATAAGGGTTTTAGATAGTTATCGAAATGAACAGTTTATTGTATAGAGAAGAAAATCAGAACTTTAATTATGAGAACTACCAACCTTCAAGTGCCTGAAAAAAGGCTAAAAAAAGCGTCCAAACGAACTTTAACAGTTTGAATACAAAAACGTATAGAAAATCGTATAACAAAAAATAAACAAAACCGAAAATGTTTTCTTCTCAAAAACATATACGATCATATTGAAATAAACTTATATGTAGATTAAGATGGAAAAACGGTGTGCAGTGTTATTTTGTAATAATGTTGAACCTAATTTATTTGTTTCTCCTAAAGATCCTGATGAACTGAAGGAATGGAAAGAGAATTTAAATATTCATGAAGCTGAATTTCATGTCTGCAGTTTACATTTTGATGAGAGTTTTATTGAAACTAAAAAAGTTTTGAGTGAAAATGCGGTGCCAACAAAGATTATGAATCAAAACAAAAATAATGAAAGATGCTCTTGCTGTTGTCAAGCAGTGAAAAATATAAATTTTCTATTTCCAATCAATGTTCAAATGAAAAAAAATTTTCAAGCTTTATTTAATTTTGAATTGTTCGAATCCAATCTTATTTGTTATGAATGTAAGAATTCTATAGCAAATTTTATCAGCTTCAAAAATAAGATTTATGAATATCGTCATGAATTTCTGGTTAATAAAAACATAAACTTAAAGAAAGAGGAAGAGTCAGACATTGCTGAAGTTTTAATTCCTCAAAACATCCAGTTGGATCCATTTGCAATCGACGATCACTTGAAAGAAGAAACCGACAATAAACATGGACTTGAAATCTCACAAAATTTATTTAATAACGAACCAGATAGAATTACTGGAGATGAAATATTCCTGGATTGTGGAATTTTAATTCCATCTGATGACAGCACACAAAGTAAACCTGAAGTTCCAAAATTATTTAAGCATATTCGCCAACATCTTCCTAAATCATCGAGAGCAATAGGCTCAACTTGTCCCATTTGCCATAAGACGATGAAAAATAATTCAATTTATAGTCACATCCGGATGGTGCACAACAAGGAACGAGATCAAATTTGTCAAGTAATTATCAAGCAATCAATCTAATAAAAGCTACTTATTAATATTTCCTCTCTTTTCAAGGTTTGTGGAAAAGCATTAAAGACAAGTTATGACCTGAAAGTACATTTGCGGAAGCATTCAGGAGAACGTCCAGAAATTTGTGAAACTTGTGGAAAAACTTTTATTAGCTACGCTCAACTTTACAAACATCGAAAAATTCGCCACCTCGAACGAGAAAACTTTCAATGTTTGATTTGTTTAAAAAATGTTTTATCCAGATTTAAACTCAAATATCACATGAAACGATTTCATCCAAACGGGTTTGATAATGGAATTCGTGTTAACATTGAAACAAATTTTTATCATTGTAAAATTTGTTCTCTAAAGTTCGTTGCAATGCATAAATATGAGAAGCATTTGAAACTTAATGATTGTCATAAATATGAGAAATTTAATGATGATGACAATGTTGATTGTAGGAATGAAACAAAATACGATTTCAGATGTAATGAATGTGGGAGGTGAGTTCAAATAAGAAACATTTATGTTTACTGAATAAATATTAAATTCTTATTTTTGCAGCATTCTCAACACTCTTAAAGGTCTCAAAAAGCACATCAGATTTGTTCATCCCAAAGAGCCACAAACTTGCACAATCTGCTCGAAACAGTTAAAAAATCCTCACACATTATGGCAACACATGGCACTTAGTCATAAGCAACCCGTCAAAAAGAGAAAAACTTAACTTTCTGAATAAAAATAAATAAAAAACTTAATTTTGAATCAAAATTTTATTCCTGGTGATAAATTTTTAAATATTTTTTGTCACTTTCTACATTTTTTTCTGAAGCTCAATGTTCTGTCCAATGGATGTAATTTCAACAACAGAATCTTCCTCCCGTTTAGCTTTCATGATGAAAATAATGACAAATATGATCAAAAGAATTTGGATGGAAACATCAGTTGTGTTGAAGATTCTCTCAAAGTTTTCGTCTTTTTGATCAAACCATGTCTGGTAAATTGTGTAGCATGACCTTGCGAGTTCCACAATTGAATATACAAGCCATGTTCTTAGTAGTGCTAAGTTTCGTTGAAATATTCCAATGATTAGCACCGCTAAGAAAAATAATATTGAGAAATTGATGAAAGCTGTTATCGAAAGATCGAGAATTGGAAGTCCTTCAGGATTGATGACAAGAAGGATAATGAAATATCTAACTTCACATGCACTGATACAACTTAGAAGTATGATTAGAAACGATAAAATACTTGTAAAGTTAAACATTTTAAAAACTACCAGAAAGTATCACCCAAACTCTTGCTAGATTGTGAATGAATTTTTAATGACGACAATATTGAAAACATTTGTACAAATAAAAAATGTTTAAAAATGATTAAGACAAGCAAACGCTTTGTTAGAGCTGATGAAATGAAGTGAAGTTATTTCGTTTATGTTTAATTATATAAAACAATGAAATACCTAATCAAAGAAAACTTTTTACTGTTCACAAAAATATTACTTTACACAAACTTTATTAAGCATCTAAAAATTCTAACATTATGCAATCTAATACTGTAAAAGGAAGTCTATAAGTAGAATAATTTGTTGGTTTCTTGTTTCGTAGTAATTTCGATTTCTTTCTGTGATTTTTGAGTTTAATCACATCCAATAAAAATGTTTTCAGGGATGAATTGCGAAATGAAACAGGTACGGTTCAAATGAACAAACGGCAGCGTTTTCATTATTTTCATTTGTCTGATTTCTTGGTAAGTTTTCCTCGTCTTCTAAATGAAGCTCATCATCTTCGACGGTAATAACTTTGTGAAGTTTCATCACAAGTATGAGGGTTATAAGCTGCAGAACTGCAAAAAAAGTAACCATTGCATTAAAAAGAAGGTTAAAATACAATAATAAACCTACTTAATGAGATAGCAATGTTTGTCGGTCTATTTCTACTGAAGAAGGTGTCGTTTTCAAAAATTAAGTCATAGACATAGAAGCCCATTGCACCGTACATGATGATTGCTGATACCATCCAAACTTCAAGAATTATTTGGCACTCTCCAAAAACACCCAGCATTAACATTAGAGAGCAGCATCCGACGGCAAAGCTCAAGGCCATTTCACCAGACAACACCCTTTTATGAGCATCGTAATACGAAATTAAATGAGAAATTGTGTGAATCAGTCTAATCAATCCCAAAACGACTATGGACACTTTCAAGGCGGATTTTAAAGATGTCATTATTTGATTATCAGCAGTTTATGAGTGAGTAATTAAGTTGCCTGAGACATTGTTGTCTTATGTTTCCACTACAAAATGACCTTCAAACCAGGAAGAATTAAAATTGAGCGTAATGTTCCCGTATGTGGTTTAGAAAAACTTCGTTGGCTTTTAAATTTATAAATATTTAGCTGTAAATTTATATTAGATCAAAAACTTGTATACTTCCATCTTTTTTTTATTCCACTTCTAAGTTTTTCAAACACTTGTTGCATTTCTGCGTTGCATTTTAGTGCGCATCCTCGATTACCTAGAAGGACATGGGATAGTTTGAAGATTCTTCTCGGTCTGGTTAAATTCAAAAGAAATTTTGAAATCATACAACATTCTACAATTTACTTTAGATTATTTCTGTAATTGTTGATAAACATTTGACAAATGTTTTGAAAACATACTCATATGTTTATGTTTTATTTTTTGCAGATAGGATATGTGGACTTGATATATACTTCAAAACAAAAATTAACTGTCATTACAAGTTTAAGATTTTGTTTTCGAACTTTCGAAATTTAAATAAACTTGGAATTTTCAACCTTATTTTCGCACAAAGTAACGCAGAAATTTGCATAAAGTGACAAAACCATTTTCGAAGATTGTTTATTATCAAAAAATATTCTTCTGAATTTGCTTGCGAACGTAAACTTTTCAATTTATCAAATTTACTAGAGTTCAAGGCTATTATTCCGCAAAGGAGCTCATTAAAAACTATAATTGATAAAGATTAAACTCGGTGTAAACTCTAATAGAAAGGTATTTTGTCACTCGGTTAATTAAATATGTTTAGATTGATGATTCATTCTTTTGTTTTCTTTCGTGAAATTACTTATCAGCTCTTCAAAAATGAATTCATTTGATACCAGTGATGCAGAATTTCAGCGACAATCACAATTTGTTAGTACAAGTGTACAAAAAATATATCAGAATGGTACGCAATGACATTTAATCCTGAAAATTTCTATTATTGATTTTATTATTTTATTTCTAGTTTCTTCGATGAATCGAATGGTGAATCAAGTTGGAACGGCCCAGGAAACACCTGAAATCCGACAACAATTGTAAGAAAAGGAATCATAATGATGAGTATTTTCTATAATTAATCGTATTTCTTGTAGACACCAAATTCGAAGTTACACACAACAATTAATCAAAGATACAGACACATCAATGAGAGAAATAGTAAATTGCAAGGATCGTCATTTGAAAATTCAAAGAGATCGTCTTGTTGATGAGTTTACAGCAGCATTAACCGCCTTCCAAGCAGTACAAAAGAAAACTGTTGAATTGGAGAAAAATGCAATGCGACAAGCAAAGGCTGCAAATGTTTCGATCCCAAAACCACCAGGATCAAATAAATCGACAAATAATAGTTATCCAGAGTCTTCAAGTGGATTTGAAAATAATTTTATCGACAGTAAAAGCCCAACTCAAGCTCAAATGCAAGATGAAGTTGATTTACAAGCGCTTGAAGAGCAAGAGAGAACAATTCGTGAACTTGAAGAAAATATCGTGGGTGTAAATGAAATTTATAAGAAATTAGGCGCTCTTGTATATGAGCAAGGAAACACAATTGATTCAATTGAAGCTTCCGTCGAGAATACCAGTGTCTTTGTTCAAGAAGGTACCGAGCAACTTAGGAGAGCAAATCATTACAGCGTGAGTTATTCAACAATCTTCTCATTAACAATTCCTATAAGATTCTCATTGTTCACTTTCAGACTCAAGCTAGAAAGAAAAAAATTATTTTAGCTCTTGTGTTGGGTGGAATATTGGCTGTTATTCTTCTTATGATATTCTGGAGATCTTAAAATATCCTACTTCGAAATGATGATGTTGATGATGGTAAATTCATGTTAAATTATTATTTGTAAAACATGACATTAATTGAAAGTCATCTACTCAACATTAATCTTATTAAATTATGTATTTTCCTTTAATTTTGTAAAACAAAATGTATATTGTTGTTATCACCAAAATTATCACTTAATTACCACTAAATGAACAAGACGATGAGTTTCTTCAATGACGTTAGATTGTGGCTTCTGTTTTGTATGAAATGATGAAAAATTAATGTAACGCGTCATCACTCAAAAAAATAAATTAATAATTTTTAAATTCCATTATCTAATTAATTTTTTTTTGTATGATGACTTGAAGAATGTTGACATCTTTATAGATTTCCACGGAAGTTCTTGAAATTCGTCACCATCTGTCGTATTCTTCATTCTAATTTCTAGGTTGATTATTTTCCAAAAATCGAATTGTGGAGAAAAATGAAAGATAAACATTGCAAAATTCTCCTCACTTGAGGCGATTCATTGTATTCATCGATACTTTTATAGATAATTTAGTTTTTCTTTTTTGTCACAAATCAATGGAAATTTATTCATGAGCAGATATCCTATGAAAACATTTCATCATCAATCCCTTCATCATTTCTCTTACTCGCCCTCAACGATGAAAATATTAATTTAAAATAAATATTCAAGTGGACACACATTTGACAGATTTGAAGATGGGTGCAGTCGTTGGTTGTGCCACGTCATGGAGAGCTGAAGAAAGAAAATCTCATTTAAATGGTACGACGGATACAATGGAGTATGTTTACTTTTCCTGCACCCACACATTCCTTTTCTGTTGCAATTCACCACAAGAATGAGAAAAATTAATGAATGGCGATGGTGACGTTTTGGATAAACAGACACTGAAAGAAGGCAAAAAATTATTTAAAAAGTCATTTTGAGATTCTATAATGTGACAATAGTTGCTGATGTTTAGGTACTTCTTTATCTTTTTTCTTCTTTCACTTCTTTTCTTGTTATGTGCTGTGAAGAAAGAAAATGGGATTAAGTTGGATGATGATCGCCTTCATAACAATTATCATATCCATATTTTTCTTTCATTCCATCTTTTTTGGCTTTTGGACGTTCGATAATCTTTGCAATTTGGATAATGACACAAAGAAGCTAAATAATGGTTATTGTTGAAGATTTCACAGCCTCACAAATCCTTAAAGACATGTGGGAAAATTTTGTCTTGGTGGTCGTTTTGAAGAAAGATATTTTATCAGCGATAAATTATCATAATCTTCAACTAATCACAGAATTAAATTTAGAAGATTCCAATGAAATGTTACAAATTAAAGCAGAAAAAAAACCCTTGAAAATTCTCCAAGCTTCCGCCAAGCACAAATTGATATTTATTTATTTTTCTAGCTGAAATTGATCTTCCATCCCTCGCTATGAAGAAATTCTTAGGTCGTGCGCATTGGAATGCTTCAAAATATTTTCATTCCCTTTAAACATCGGAAGACGATCCAACAAGAAAAAGAAATACTAAACGTGATGTTATTTTCTGATGTTCTCGCTCTGACTTCTTCATCCCGTTGAATTTTCATTCATCTCAACGAGTTTATTTATTCACATTTTTTAAGGTGAATACGAAAAATATTTTTCAAGATAATATTGACATAGACAGATGGTTGTAAATATTATCTTAACTAAAGCAAATCGCAGACACTGCAAAACTCGTTGAGCATATTTCACTGTTTGTGCAATTTTTCTTATTAAAAAATATTAATTTGAGGACGATCTTCATTAGCAGATAATTTGCCTTGAATTTTCTTAATTTATCAATGTTTCGACAAAATTCTTTTAAACTCATAAATAATGAAATTTTATTATTTTGTGAATCAACAAGTGAATTAATGTTTAATCATCTTAAAATATTTAAGAATCAAGCAGTCAATTTAATTCTTAAAATTTTCTCATTCAAAGCATTGCTTGATTTGTTTATATAAAACACTTTAAAACAAATTTATAATTATTTTATGAAATTACGAGGTGTTGATGTATGCTCAACGTAATTTGTTTACACATCAAATGAAAAAAATAAAAATCCTTCATGGTTGGGAACATTTTTTTTATTTACCCGGCGGTTGCCTTTTTAGTGTGGAAAAAATCTGATCGCCTTTATCATGCAATGTTTATGTTTACACATTCTTTTAACAAATTCATAATATTTTTATTGCTTACGCATGGAATTTATGAGTGTCCATCCTTGCATAAGCAACCTACCGCATGTAGGGAAAGAGTTAAGTAAATTTTTCCAACATTTATGATTTTCTTACATTAAATATTCAAATAAAAGACACAAGACGTAGAAGAAATTGGCTTCCTTTTTATATCAGATATTTTGATTTTCTATTCTAATTGAAAACTGAAGTTTTCTTCATTTCTATATCCAATTTTCTTTCCTTATATTTTTCTTGAAAAATCAATAAAATTTCAGCTTTAATCTCAATCCTTTAAATTTTCCACAGAGAAGAATTATTTATGATATCCAACATCGACGAAAGAGACAACACAATTCACATTAAATGAATGGGCGTGGTTAACTCCCCTCATATCCAATTATTCATTTCGTGCCTTTTTTCAGTCATGGACGCAAAAAACAATAGTTGAAGCTTCTTTAAATATTTTCCACCTCAATTCTATGGTAAATGCATGTGTTCATTAGAATTATCACTCTTTTCCGGGAAATGAAACTCGATTTTTTACACATCTCTCCTGTCAACATTAGAATAACGACCAAAGAAATATGTCTGGGATTGAATATAAATTGTTAAAAGTTTTGTAAGAGATGTAATAAATTTATTGGAATATGAATGAAAGAATGCCTAAATCAACAAGCGTTCAATGTGAAAGGGATTATCAAGAGTCTGCACGTTTTTCTTACATTGTGGTTTTTCCAAATATCCGGTTTTGAAGACTGATAGTTAAGGTTTCTTGCCACATTAACACTACACTTAAGTATATGAGAAATTGGCATAAAAGTAAGAGTTACGTTTATGGAGGAAGCTGTAACAGTTTCAAAAACCTGAAACTCTTAAAACAATAAACCATCTCATACTGGTTAAGTGTCTAATCTTCCTCTACTCACACTAACTCGTAGATTTATTCCTGATTTCATTCATAAATTTCAAATTTTTTCTTTAATGTACATTTCTATGTTTATGTTAAAAAGAAAGGAAAATACTAGAAAGATGTCAGAGATTAATGGCCTAAATGCTGTTTTTCAGGTAGAATCAGTCGATTTTAGGGAAATCCCGAAATTCAGAGCATTTTTATGAATGAAAATTTGGAAAGGTTATCGTCGTGCGTGAACTTGTTTTATTGTCTTATGAAGTAAGGATTATTAGCCTGAGTTAACGTGCATTTGGGACTCAAGTGTCAGACAAAGTTGCTAATTATTTATTATTTACTGGGATATTCATTTCCTGTTGCCTGAAAAATTTAATTAAGAATCTTCATTGAACATAGAATTCCAGGTAATTAAGTTGATTATACAAGTTCCCATTTGAGGTAGAAAAGTTTATTGTCGATTTAACATCTAATGGATATTACACACCAATAATTTTAATTTAATTTCTTACAGTTTACCACGAGTTTTTAAAAAGTTAGTTAGATATCTACCAAGCTTGCCAAAGGCACCAGAAAATTGCTAATTACAAAATTTTCATTTAAAAACATTTCTGTTAGCAACATTAAACGTTTGGAACTTTTGAATGTAAATTTCTTTTCAACTTCATGCGAAAATCATCAGATGTGAAAGGAAAATTGAATAGATTTCGTCTCTAAATTACTTCCACTTAGATTAATTTTAATCAAGATTCGTTGAAGAATGAGAAAATTAGGAAAGCTCTGATGTGAAATGAATATTTAGTTTCTCATAAGATATCTACTTAAATATAAATTATATTCACATCAAACGTGTTCGAAATGAAACTCTTTTTAAAGAATCTCAATTAGCATTTAATTAAAAAAGTTTAATGATTTTAAAAAGAAATTTTTGTTTTCCACCTACATTTTTTCTATAAATTCAGATATCTTTGCAATTGCAAAGCTAAGAAAGCAATTTAAGAAAGACTAAAGAGAAGTTTTGTTTTTCCACAACTTTCTTCATGAAATTATCTTCCCGTTGAATAAAAATCATTAAACTGTTCATTAAATGGAAGACGCTTCATGCTACGAAACACTTAGATATAACAGAAATCTCTTAAATATATAAATAAAATAATATTTGTGTTGAAAATAAGAAAAATAAATAAAATTATTTCCAGCCTTACTTCATAATTCGACTTTAAATTCATAATCGAATAAAATATGAAAATGCTTTTACCAGGAATTTTCTAAAAGAAAAAAAAGTTTGTTATCAAAGCATTTGTTTTTTAAGGACTTTTGATAACTCTGTCGGATGAGAATGAGATGCCTTATCAACCCAACAGACAAGAGAGAGTATGTAAATTAACACCCATCAGATTATTTTTTCAAGTCATTAGAATCCATGCGCATAAAAAATGTTCGGAAGGATTTTAACAAGGAAACCAAACGATCGAGCTTCATGGAAAATATATTACGAAAACGAATGAAAAAAGAAAAATGCTTCAGTGAATAATCAACTCACACATCCATGCAAACCGACTCGGTGTAACAGGGATAGGCTATCGATTCTCATTCGTCTTTTGCTATTATTAGCATCCGATTTATTCCTGACTGCCAACAGATGCTATTGGTGAGTAAGAGACAGTATGATTTTTTGTGAAGATATATGTAGAAGTGAAGGAAAAGAAGAAGCAACAGCAGCAAAAAAGCATGAAACATTCGTCGATTCGGTGATGTGAGTTTATTTTATTTTTGATTTTCGGATCGGACTGCCGCACGATGTGTTGACGCTTCTTGTTTTTTCTAAGTAAAAAAAAATCTTTGAATATACATCAGTGGTGAAAAACGAGGAGACAAACTCTGTAGTACGCGTTTTTACTCGATCGCTCGTGACGTTCGTGCGAAAGAAAGACAAAAAAGGTGTTAAAATATCAAATCTAGTTACTGCAAAAAAGGGCGAGAAAATTCCAACGAACGCGCCTGGGCAAAAAAATCAGACATTTTCATTTAGTCGTTAGGATAATATTTTGCTATTTAGTAGCGAAAATATTTTAAGAAATAACAAAGCCATTCAGACGTCGTCGAGTGAACATAAAAACCAGTTGCAAACTGTTGTCTGAGAAAATAAAACAGGAAGAAAAAAAATACATTGAATTCGATTAGCTAAATAAGGCAAAAAAAGTTTTGAGCATTGAAGATTTGATATCGAAAAATTATTTGGATTATTAAAGCCAAGTTACAAGTGAATAAACGCAGTTATTTTTAATCACTGCTGTTAATGTTCATGTGTGACGAAGTTCACCAGGAAAAAAAATCTGTTAAATAATATATCGGCCGGAAAAAGAAAAGCAAAAGAAAAGTTTATCTTGGCATATTTAGTGGAAAAATTGTTTGTCTTCACCAAGAAGAAAAACTTTTTTTTGTATGTTTTGAAAGAAAAATATTACGCTCAAAGTGCAGTGCACGACAAGTTCGAGAGATTTACAGTGTGACGGAAAAATAAATACTGAAAAACTTGAAATATTAGTGAATTAAAGAGATTGAAGATGCATACGCTATTTACGGATCAAAGTTCATTCACCAGACATTATGGACAAACAGCTTATCCACCTAATGCAGGTGCAACGAGTCATCATTATCCTTACGATCAATACACAAGATATTATGCAGGTTCTGCTTATGGATTATCAGCACCTCATCAAAACAAAGAGATGGTGAAACCTCCATACAGTTACATTGCATTAATTGGTAAGTTGTGAAAGAATAAAATTATAAATTTGGATAAATATTTTAATAAAATGTTATTTAATTACAACAGCTATGGCAGTTCAAAACGCCCCCGATAAAAAGATAACTTTAAATGGGATTTATCAATATATTATGGAAAGGTTTCCCTACTATCGTGACAACAAACAAGGCTGGCAAAATTCAATTCGACATAATTTGAGTCTTAATGAATGCTTTGTGAAAGTTGCACGAGATGATAAGAAACCAGGCAAAGGAAGTTATTGGACATTAGACCCAGACTCTTATAATATGTTCGATAATGGATCTTTCTTAAGACGTCGGAGACGATTTAAAAAGAAAGATGTGCTCAAAGAGAAGGATGAACAAATGAAAAGACAGAACATGATGTTAGAAGATAAGCTAGCAGATATTAAGCCGATTAAATTAATGACACAAACTATGTTAGACGCTAAACAATTTGCGCAGCAATTAAAGCGAGAACCTGGCATTGAACTCGCTCAATGCATGACAAAAGAAGGAATTTCTGGCGCTACAATACTCAACACTTGTCATGATTCAATAGCTTCACAAATGAATCATTTAAATCAAGGAGCTGAACATAATTTCACTGTTGATTCTTTAATGAATGCAGCATATAATCCTCGATTGCATCCGTCATCCTATGCATATCATTTCAACGATGAAAATTTAATGAACTCATCAGCACAGCTACGACATCATCCGTCAGCATCAGCGGCTGTTCATGGTCATAGTTGGTATGCACCCGCACCTGAAACACCCCCGGAATCGATTGGTAATACTTCTGGTGGAAGTAATCCGGGAAATATTGGAAATTCTGGTTTGGCACTGCCTCCAACCACAACCTCCAACAATAATAACAACAACAACAACAACACTGGCGGCTTTCGTAACATGATCTTTGATCATAACCAGAACAACTGTCACATGGAGACCGGAAGCAGTCCAACAAACAGCATAAACTCAGCAAGTCCACCCATAACAAATGCAACACATGTTAATCATCATCATTTAAGTCCAAAGTGGAATACGAATGTGGCAAGTAACAGCAACTTAAGTCATCACCATTATCGTCAACATCACTATCCATTACATAGCTATGGCTATCAAGATTGTGGCATTAAATATGGCGTTTGAATCATTGGCGTTTAGCATTGTGAATTCATGAAGGAAATTTGTCTTTATCGTTTTGTGTTTCTCTATTTATTCACCGTGTGATGTGAGAATCACTAAGTTTATAAAATCGAATGATTATTAAACAGCAAAGGAAAACACCCACGCATAACTTATCATTTGTGATTTAATTAGTGTAAGAATATTAAGGAACTGATGAAATATGAGGAAGGAAGGCGGATAAAACGATTTAAAATCTTTCTGTTGTTTTCTTCAGCCTTCCGACGGAAGCATTTGTAATTGTAATCTTCGGAAAAAAGGAAAATTGAAATTTTCACTGAACATTTTATTTTCTTTTCTTCTTTTTTGACTGATTGTCGATGAAATGTTTCAAATAGTTAATTTAAGATTTCATAATGATCTTGAACATAAATAGCTTATAAATAGTATTGAATCAAAAACTCGTATGAACCAAACTTCAAAACTTTTTTAATGACATTCATTCCTATTAAGAAGAGAAGATAAATTTAAAGCAAAATATTTAATCTGTAAATTATTAAAAAAATAATTAATTTGTAATAATTCTTGCAATAAGTGTGAGCTCCGAATTGTATAAAATATTGAAAGTAATGAAAAATTAGGAATTGTAAGTAAAATTTTCATGTAACTTTTCTTCTAAATCAAATATTGTGAAAAAGTGAAATGTTAGAAAAGAAATTATTAAAATTTGTTAGTAAATATCTTAATTAATTAAAACTGCCTGAATTTTTTAACACAAAGTTTTTCTCGTAAATTTTTGTTTCTCCACACCAAAAACTATTTCACTCTTGAAGAATTTTTGCAATCAAATGAAAGAAATCCTGTAAAATCAAAAGAAATAAAGAAGTTAAAAAATCAACACTTAAATTACATGGTGAACACATACTGATATGAAATATAATTAATTAAAAATAAGTACTAATGTGTTAATATTTTTATTTAATCGCTTCGTTTTTCAGTAGCCAGATATATTTATAAATTCATTCATTTGTTCATTCATCCATCGTACGTTTTCCTGAATCATTGAGCGTCGGAGAAGCATAAAAAGATTAAAATCACTTTGTTTATTGTTTGGTTGATTGGATACAACCAGAAGCAAAAAAGTGGAATCATCAAAGTCTGATTCAGATTTTCCGCATATAAAATTTATAAAATTGAAGCTTTCATATCAACTGCCCTCGTCAATCTCTGATTGAGAGATCAAAGGAAAAAAAATTATGATTCATCTTCTTCTTTGACTTCTGCTTTCTTCATAATCGTTTCAAATCTCTCAAATCATCTCGAATAGATTTTTAATTTTATTACTTTGATATCTATATTTCATCTTTTCTTTCTTTCATCATATGGCGCATCGTTTCATACACTTCCACTTCAACGTTTTGTGGTGTGAATCTTTAAGTGATGAATAAACTGTTTTGACTGCTAATTTATGATCAAATATTTATCATTTGACACTCAATAAAAACTTCTTGCCGATGTAACAGCTCAACTGACTTTATAATCTTATCGACAAATAAATTCGTTTGTTCTCTCTCTCGTCTCGTGCCATGAGCCATGAGATGTAAATAAGAAGGGACTTTGTTCTAGTTAAGATGGAAACTTTTCAGATGGTTTATTAATTTAATAGGTCAATAAAGTGCTTCAACATATTGTAATTTGCAAGGTAAACACTTAACATGCGCTGTAGTTTAAATATTTATTTATATAATAAATTTTCCTTTTGTTATTATGATAGTTTTAGTTACACTTTCTTCTCTTTTTGTAGTCAGAAAGTTTAAGGAAATTATGGAGAGTGAAGACGATTATCCGGGACGTTAAATCAAAAGTTTCCATCTGGATCTTGTAAGTAGCAATTAGCCGCAACATGTTCCATATTTCGCAAAAACGACTGCAACAACATTGACGTGATACTAAAAAGATTCATCTTTCACCCATAGGTAAACGGACTCTTCTGTTTACACTTGGCATTCTGCTAAGCGTTACGATGAAATTATTTTTCTCACATTTTGCATTCATTAATTATGCAAATGACATTGAACGAAGAATTCTCTGTGAAATGCATCTCCACAGTAATTTGTTATTAGTTCAATCATTTTCAACACTTGCGATAAATCATCGCTCGTTATAAAATTATTTCCAAGGCATTTCAATCACAAATCGTAGAAAATTAAATCGTGAAATCGACGAAGGAAATTATTGTTTGTGTACGAAACTTCCTGGAAAATTCATTTCCACTCTGTAATTTTATTTAACTCGTTAAGTTGTCTTCACCAAGAAGCACACTCAAGAAATGTGATTGAAGAATTGTTGAATAGAAAAGTAAATAAATTAATGAGATCAGGAAATTACTCGTTAATTGACGCGTTTTTCAGTAAGCGTAGCTTGTTGAAAACAATTAAAATCATTGAATTAATTCATCAAATGTTTACAATCATTTCTTTTACTGTCTCTTCCCAAAGATTTTTACTTCCAGATGCATTTGCAATTGTTATTTGAAGTGTTTATTCAGACCTCAATTTATTTCATGTTCCACTTTTCATATTTAGCCATCAAAAGTCTTTTTACATTTCACTCAATTCCGCCATTTTCGGTTTCATTAGAATTATGACGAAAATATCGCCATGACTATCGAATCAACCCTCAAACGTTGTTAGCTTTAAATTACTTTTTCTCGTTTAACATCCAACCCCTAATTGTAATTCCAAACAAAGTCAGTCACTAAAATTTACTGCTTTTACCTTTCAACAGAGTTTATAAAACGACTAACAACAATTTCATTCGCTTTTTCCAACTTTTCTCTTTTTTTCACGAACACGGGTTGAGAACACCGAAGGGAGAATAAATATAAATGGATTTTCTTGTGCATGAATTTTACCCTTGATTTATTCCGAGATAAATTGTGGCATCATTTGAAACATTAATGTCGAGAGACATGTAAGAATATTTGAAAAAGAACAATTCTTTAAATGAAAATATCAACTCGTGGATCTTGAGAGCAATCTGTGAATAAATAAATACATGAGAAACTCAACATTTGCTATGAATGAGATTTTATCGTTGACTGCATGTCATGATCATAATATCTGAATTATTCCATCATCAAATCTTATTGCGCTTTATTCTTTGAATGTCTTCATCATATAATATTTCCCGATTGACCTAAAAGTCAATTAAAATAAGAATTTCATTAATTTAATTTCCATTTCCGCATGAGCATTGCCATGTCCATATTTTAGTATCGCCATTGGCATAACATCGACACCAGATCTCGGAAATTTCGATCATCATTTCGCAATAAACGCATCAACACGTAAACTTGTTTATGGTGGAAAATTGAAAATGCAGCGAGGAAAAACCTTAAAGGCATTTCCAGATAACTTTTTTTGTTCTATTTGACTCGTCATTTCACGTATTGTTATGCTTGGGGACGAAACGTGTTGATTTTTATGGTGTTATAGGAAATAAAATATTTCGTGCGTGCTCTTGGCGAAGGGGAGATAAATGGAAAAGTTATGAAAATTATTCGTCGATATTTCATTAATAATTTAACAAGTTGAATGATGAAATATGAAAACATCGTCAAAATTTTCTATCTTCAAGATCCTGACTTTAACAAACTTAATCAAAATATTGGTTCCATTTCTTCTCGCTACTCAAACCCTTGTATCTTCATCATCATCATCATCGCTTTCATAAGTGTTTCCATTCATCAAAAGCAAAACTCATAACGAAGTTTTTCAGTTTCTCTTTCTTTCATCCTACTTATTGAGTTTAGAAGCATCCTTGAGACGTCGTTCAAACAAATGGCATGGAAATTATGATTGGAAGAATCTCATCGGCATGTTGATGTGCTCAATGGGATCCCTTCTCGCTGCTTAGTCCTCTCTAGTTAATCATAAAACATCCCTCATTGTTTATTTAACTTGAAGCTGTTTTCATTTTAGCTTCATACGCCGTTTTTCTTTCGGGGATTTGTAATATTTCACAATGTCGATGAGCGTAATTTAATTGTGGGAAACTCTGAAACTCTTAAATATTGTCCACAAATGGTTGATTCTCTCCCCTCAGTTGTTTACCGAACATCAAATTGAGCATCGGAAAACTCCATTGTAGAATAATCCATTAGCAGCAGGAGAAACAGCAGTGAGTCAATTTTCTGATGTTAAGTTTTGTGTCTAAATGAAATGGAAGATTCCAATTCGATGTTGAATCATAAATCATTAGAAACGAAATTCACATGGAAATCAAAATGGAAGTTTCGTGTTTCTGATGACCATGACGAAAAGCAAAGAATTTCTTTGTTATTATTGCATGCAAAGGAACGACATAACGGGTTGGAATTACACACCTAAAACTAATTTATATTGTGAATTTGTGATTATATTTATGAAAAAGTTTGAATGAAACTTAAGCCCCGCCTTGGTGCTGATTTTTAACAAACATTCGTCGGTTTAGCAACACGAAAATTATCGTAAATATCTACCTGAACTAATCTAAAATCAAATTGATGATGCACTCGTCATTGACTCAAGCCATTTATTATTTTAACTTCACATTATTGCAACTTTCAGTTCTAAAATAAGACATTGTTATAAATATAAACAAAATAGTAAAAAAATGAAACACTTTAAAAACCTGCAACTCTTTCGAGAGTGAAAAAAAATCACAAACATTCATGAATGAAATCGATAAGATTTCGTATTTTTTTGTGTCTTCATTCGGCTGCTTCTTTTTGGCTCGAGAGTGTTTCGAGAGAAAATGTTTTCGTTGGAAGTTTAAAAAACAAATAAAACATATTTTGAAAGAAAATACAGACTATTGGTAGTACGGGTTGGAATGGTGAAAGCTATAATAGCAGTTTAATTCAAGGTAAGGAATGCCCTCGACGTTCAGAATGATTCCTCGTCTTCTTCTTTTCATTCCAGATGTTCTGGTGGGAAGAAGAATTTAGTGGGTCAACTTTTGGTTCACAAGATAATCTTTTCATCGTCAGACTTTCAGACTTTTCGCTTCAACTCAATTCAAAAATAATTCAGAATTTAAATTTCCTCCCAAAAACTACATTTCAAAATAATCAATCATGTCTAGCAGCATAGTAAGAATTTTCATACTTAATTTAATTTTCTCTCTTTTTATTTTGGAAGTTTAATGTAAACAAATTTACTTGCTTGCTACAGAAATTTGTTATTTGATTGACAACTTTAGTGTTTTCTCATTTTCTTCAGTTCAGACATTTTTCATTTTCATTTACTTGTCTTGTCTTGTCTTGCTTCTTAAATTGCAATAATTTTACAAGCTGATAATCATTCAATCATTTAAAAATATTTGCTCATACACAACATGCCCACAATCCCATTTGACTTGTCCCAAAAAATATTTTCGTTAACCGAAATTAAATTATCTTAAAGTAAATAAAATTAAAACCTAATAAAAAATGTGCTGCCGTGCGTTGATTGGGAATAAAAATGCGAGGAAAACACAAACATTTCAAGCTGTCAGAACATTTACCACATATGAAAGCTGACAAACGGGTGCAACTAAACGAGCTAATTGTCTAATTAGTAACGATGAAAAATTTCTTTCCATTGAATTCATATGAGACTTGTGTATTTAGTTTAGTTAAGCAGCTCGAGAATGAATAAAACTCTAGAAAGTATTTTATTTTTTACGTGACGTCATGTCGACAGCTACAAAATTTCTTTTCACTCTGAGTGATTTCTATTTCCGCACAAGTTGATTCAGATGTTGTAAGTCTGATCAGTTAGATAGAAATTTTCCTTCAAATGATCGATTTTCACTTGTAGAAATTTCCTCCATTTATCACACAAATAAACATGCGCATGGATTAAAGTGGAAACAGAGAAAATCGATAAGAAAAACTACAAAATGAAAATGTTAAATTTTGACGAGAAATGCTTCATCAATTTCGATTTGACGATAATTTATGGAAGTTTTGCGATTCTTTTGTACACATTTACCCTTTAATGTCGTAGACAATTCTAAATATATTCCCACATAAATGTGGCTTACACTTAATAACTAACAACGTTAAAGAAAATATTTTTGTTTCCAATTTTATTTCCATTAGATAATTTAAGTTCCACACGGAAGTAAGGAAAACAAAACGCCAAATGTTTCATGTAGAGTATAATCACAAACTCACTGCAACACACGACGTATCCAAAGCATGTAATTTAGACAGTTTAACCGAAAGTTTAACCTATGAAATGGAACAAGATTCATCATTTCAAATTGACATTATTTTCTCAAAATGTTCGTATTTTTAGTCTTCGAGGTCTCATGTTGAAATTATTCGTTTGTAGAGAATTTTCTTGTCGTTGTTTACAGAAAATCTATCACGAATAAAGTTCATCTCTTTAAAAGTGATCACAAAGATTTGTATACACGTTCGATGATGTTAAATTGTTAAGTCTTGTGCCTCGATTTGCTTCAAGCTCTAAAAAATTACCTTTAAAAGTTTTTTAAGGATTTCGAAAAGGATTTTATAAAAAAAAAAAGATTTAATCTCTTACAATAACAAAGTTTTTTTTGCCATGAGTGAGCTTGGTTTGGTTGAATGTTCGTCACATTAAATGAAACAATTTTAATATTATCTACAATGATGCATTTTGTTGTTATTCGATGCCAATAATAATCTCTCACTGATGAGCTGAAATAACAAATTATTTATAATATGAAATCAATGAAACATCACGTTAAGCTATTTTAAAGTTTAGTTAAGGCATGTGTTGTTTGAGTAAGAAGGGACAGATATTAATTTTCATGTATACACAGTTTTAAAATACCAAATAAATGATGATAACATTTTTGCATAATGAAGCAAAAAGTAATTTAAACATGTTAAAGCATTCCTTGACATCCAGCAAAAAGTAAATCGATACACAATAAGATCATTTTCTGATGACGTGAAAAATATTTATATGAACGAATAAACAAACTTTCAATGAATACTTCGCGAAAAAATCGTTCATTAATGGTTCTTTGAAATCATTTTGAATCAGACTTCCACTTCAGATAAACTGTGAATTCCTTTTCGGCGACATCAGTGGAAGATCATAAATTAACAACAAAATCATCTCATGGATGACTGGCTGTAAAATCCGTCGTTTCTTCAACACACATTAAATACTTCCTGAAGATTGCCTTTAGAATAAAATATTGAATATTTTTATCTATTTTGACAATTTTCATTTTCCCGTTCGGCAATGTATAGAGAAACCATATGTTAATGCATCTCTCCCGACATACGCACATATGTACCAGCTCTGACTAATTTAGCCTAATAACTTAATACTTTTTCTCTACCCAAATCCAAATCACAGCACAAGAGTAACATATTGTAGTTATTTACCCATAAATTATAACATTAAGACTTTCCAGAGGAAACTTTTTCAGAGACTGCGTGTCTATTTTGCGTGTGATGCATGGTTCTACTTCAGTTAAAGAGATCGAGTTTCAGGGACAAAAACGAAGTTGAATGAAAGACAAAATTAAAAATGCAAACTTAAAGGTCTCAAAAATGTTTTAAAAGTTCTTTTCTATGGGAGAAATTTTCAAGACTTATAAATTTATGTCTATCCATTAATGATTGATGTAACATTTAAAAGAATCATTCATAAATCTTTTAGAACTGTGACATAACTTGGTAACATCTCCTAGAAACGACAATGATTTATGAAGTTCTCATCTTTAAATTATTAAAAGTAAATTTGTCATTTTTATTGCCACCAATGATTGTGTAAAAGGAAAACTTACAAAGAAAGCGTTGTGATGACAACATAATTATTAAAAGAACATCAACAAATCGTTAGTTGCTTTGCTGTTGGTAAAATGATTTGAAGATAAAAAAGAGAGGCACACAAAGAATTTCTTCACCCTCAAACCAAAAAACGGATTATAGTCAGGGATGCGTTTGAGATTAGTGAGAAAACATAACTTTTAACAATATGTACAAAAGAGATTTCGCATCAAGAATTTTTTCATTTTCAAGACGATTTGATTGCAATGGAAAGGATGAATCTCATTGCAAGTTGCAACATATTTTTAATTTAAGATTACAACAGAATTCTTGATGCAACTTAATGCGATCTTCACAAGGTTATCAATCAAATTGCAGGTATTAAGATCGCTCGAGTTTTGTTGTTCATTTCAATCTCTCAATTCACTAATCCAAAAATGTTTCAATAAAAGATTTATGAGAAAATGAAAAAATCTTCATTGTCAGGGATTAATTCACCTTGAACACGATGGTATTTCGATATTAATTTGATCTAATTTTAAATTTTGCAACACAACATTTTCTTTCATGATGTGAATATAAAAAAAATATTCGGGTGGTCCTAGGAACATTTGCTTCATTGTTGAGACTGTAAAGTTTTAACTGAAGTTGAGTAAAGTTTTATCATGTATACATGCAATAAAAAATTTCAAAACTGTAAAGAATTTTATGTGTTGTGTTGATGTTGTTAATGAATTAAAAATAAGTTGTGATGGTCAAGTTATATTATCTTCGATATGTTGAAAAACTTTGAATAAAATTTTAGAAAAAAATTTAAATTTTTCATGCATCTTCTTGTTGCCTGCAGTCATTCAGATATGATACATGAAAATCATTCTATCAATTTAGATCCTTTGAAATCCCATTGTAATGTTTAGGGCACATCTTTCTGCAATTTTCCGCTTTCAGAATTTTTTTTTTTTGTGTTCAACTTCTAAGCAAGAGCTCTCCCTCTCACACAAATTGTTTATTCAGTTTTCTCATACAACATAGCAAACAGCATGAACCGCATATTATTTATCCAAACAATGAAACATTAACAAAAGGAGCGTTCATCGCCCGCTTGCTTCTTTGCGTTCTTTCTCACTCATACTGTATACAAATACGTTTTCGTGAAAAGGAATTAGCACATCAACAATAACATTAATTTTTCGGATCCTCGACGCTGCTCACATTTATGAGACTTTCAGAAGAATTGACGATTTGCCTTTGTGGTATTTTAACATTCAAACTCAATTAAGTTTGAAATTCTTTTGTTTACAATTTAATTTGCAAGTGAAAAGATCTTTTCTTGTGCTGACTGAGTGACGATAAGAAATTTCGATGGAATTCTGAGAAAAAAGCATTTAAGAGGGTGGAAATAATCTCAAAAGTCAGGAAGTTTTCTCATTGATATTGTTATCAGTAAGCGAATTTCTTTGAAAATTCGGAAAAATATTTAAAATTTAATCCGATAAACTTTTCGTGACATCTTCATTATGATATCAAAGCGTGAAATTCTAAATTGCACTTGTATTAAATTAAGCGAGTCTTGTTGTGGAGAGAAGGAAAAACAATGTGTTAGAAATGTTTTGATGATGTCTGGCTTCGATGAAGATTCAACACCCATGAAAAATTGTAGCAAGAAAACGATGAACAGAGACTCCATTTGTTCACACCTCATTTTTATCGCACGATTTCTCACTGCAACACAATTTTGACAAAATTTTCGTCACCGTCAAACGACACCACGAAGTTAAAAGATGCGATGACAAAATCATCGACGAAAAGATCAAGCGCCGTCGGCAAACCACAAAAGATTCAACAAAACCTACATCATAACCGGAAATGCCAACTTCTCAACTCATTTTCACTCAATAAAGCAACAAAAAAACCCTCTCAATTTATGGTTTACACAGCGGATCAAAAGAAAACTGTTTCAATCCACAGAAAACGCAAGAATCGTTTGTGAAATCCGTCGGGTTGGATGTTCGTCTGTATTTATAAACTTTATGCGCATTCACATCTCTTTAATGATTTTTCAGAATTGATTGTTTATGTTTACGCATAATGTAATAAAAACGCACTCAATAAAAGAATCAAAAGTTATGAGATGAGTCTTAGACTTTGTGGCTGCTCATTGATGTTGGATTTGGGAAGTCTATTAGAAATTTCTTGGAACTGATCAGAATTTAATGAAAATTATTGCACAATTTATTATGCTAGATAATTGCATTATCACCATAAATAGTCAAAGATTTTATCTTTAAATTGAAAAGCAACTTACACGTGTAAATTTATTCTTCCAGTTATTCTCCGGCTTTGATTTATAATTTTATGGTTTCTTGTGTATTGAATTTTATTGCTTTTCTTCGTAGCTTGATGTTTATTTAGTAAATATTTTCAGTAGTCTACTCTGGATTTTTTACAGTAAAGAAAAAACTGAATGAAGTCTTTATATAACCACTTGTCATGTCTTTTATGGTGACGAGAAAATTTACAAACCTCAGAATTTGTCTCAAACTTAAACATGAATCAATTAAATGAAGTGTTATCATGCTGACATGTTACAGTGATCGTTTATAATCACGAAAAGATGTTTATTTTCAATCTAACAAGATTTTCCATAAATCCACATGACATAAAAGATTTTCCGGACTACAACGGGGAGTAATTAATTCAAGATACAACGACATAGTCGTCACGAACCTGATGGGAAATCTTAAAGAAATGAAGAATCTGAATAAGGGATCAATTTCAGATAATATTAATCTTTCGATCTTCTTAACATGAAAGTGCTTTCATGATACATAGTTCAATGTGTGTGGGGTGAACTCTTTAAGTCATTCCAAATTAGTCGATCTATTCGAAAAGAAATGCTTCAAAATTTATTATTCCAGGTAGTTTGAATTTCACACCAATCACTCCATGACTAAGGATTTTCTCACCGTTTTCAAAATTTCCATTCATGAATCATGACGAAAACGAGAGAGTTGAAGAAATCATAAATTCATCGTTGTGTAAACAGTAATTCAAACTGTCCATGTGATCTTATAAGAGTCGACTTATATTATAAACACATCGTCAGTTAGGTCACAAACTCAACTCAAACTATTCAGACATTGAGTTAAATGTTTATCTTAATCTTCAGCATTTGGCTTAATATTTGCAACGTGATGATTTGTAAATTTTTAACATCCACCATTGAAGGTAATAAGAAGAGAAAAATTCAAAATATTCTTTACATCAGTTCGAACAAATCCCAAAAAAGCAACGAAGGAAAAGAGTTTCGTTTCCCTTGTTTATTCAATCACCCAAAAACGAGCTCGACAAATCTCGCTGCTTCATCATGCACTTACCTTAATTCTACTTGAGAAACATACATTTCCTCGAGCTTCGGCCTTTTGCTGTTTATTAATTGTTGTTTGCTTAAGACTTTATAAATTAAAAAATATATTGTATGTGAGACTTTTCTCTGCGATATAAAGTGCTCTGCTACGAGTGATCTGAAGAATTTCATGCTCGTTTCGATATAAGAAAGTATTAATTCTTGTCATCATTCGCTTGGTGTGTTGACTTAAGAGTATTTCAATGATGTTTTTGTAAGAGCGATAAAGACCTGCTTTATTATCAAATCATCAATCATCAGCATGATTCGCTTAATCTTCCAAAGCTAGCAGGCTATGTAGCAATGATGTTTATTTAATTGCGTGAGTTGAATAATTTTTTTTCTTCGTCTTGTTGTGGATTCTTTTTTGGCTCATCGGAGATTTTCTCCTTAAATACATCCGCTCTTTAACTCACCATTGTCTAGGGAGGTAAGTTTTGACTTTCAAATTTTAAGTATTCAAAAATAAGAAGAAAAAGATGATGAATGCAAAAAGCACAAAGTTAATCCCTTATCCCTCTTCCTGCTTAATGGACACGACAATATGGAAGTGATTTGTAAATTATTGCCATATTTATATTAATAAGATGTAGGAAATAATTTACGAAATGAGTGGCAAATGATTAAAATTATTTTCTAATCAGAAAACTTTTAGGTTTTATTCATAGAAATCTCTACTAATTATTTCTTTTTAAATTAAATTATTATTTATTGCATGGAAAATTCCCTTTTGTGGTTATTGCTTAACTAAATGCGACTATGTCACATCTCATCTTTGCCATTGTTCAAAACTCTTAAAAACTTCCCCGAATTGTTTGTAAATCATTTTTAATACTTTTGTCAACATCTTGTTGATGTGAGTACGTAATTAGATAAGTTAAAAGATAAATTCTACAACACTTTTGAAT